AGTTCCATCAAAATGTCCTCTAGGAAGACAAATTTTTTCCAATGCTTGATCGAGGAGTTCTGTTGTCTTCTGGATTAAGTTTAAAATTACGAGGCTACGGAATTGAACATTGTTAGTTGCAAACTCAAAATAGATCTCTGCTGTTTTAAAAAAAACATGCTTCAGATTAAAGCATTTTACCAGTGATCACAGCTTCCTGTGAAAGAGGCTTCAGCTGTCATAACAGACTGAGGAGAACTTACAAAAACTCTTTGAAGACTGAGATATTTGAAGATTTGCATAGAATTTCTATAAATTGTACCTCATACCCAACAGAGATTGATGCTAGGCTTGAAATTAAATATGATATTTCAGTATGTAAGAGCTGCATTATACAATAATGAAATGTTAAAAGTATAAGATTATTTCTAATGTCTTGGTGTTCTGATATTTTTTTGTATTCTAATGACTTGTACGATATGTGGATAGCAGGAACTTTTAAAAAATTTTAAAACTAATATCAGTTTCAGTTTTTCCTTTTCTATACTCATCTGTGAACATGTTTGAAAATCGTTCATATTTTGTTATGTTTGATAAAGTGCGATCAAAAATTTTAGTTTGGCAAGTAATTTAAAACTGAAATTCCATCCCCTGCTTTTGACCATTGTTTCTCTACCCCTGGCCCGCAGACCAATACCAGTCCACGTACACTATTCATAGGTTCGCAAACATTGTTACCCTAAATTAGTTCAATATCGTATAGAATAAAAACTATTCTCTCGTAGTAAATAATGAAACTCTCACAAATAAGTTAAAGTGAACTGTAATAGTTTTTATTTTTGATTCTCATATTAATAACTAAACATTCTCTGCTCTCACTATTTGGTTACTCTCAATGCGAACTTCGGACATCACTGTAAACTACAAGAATAGCGCTTGCGGTTAGGGACGAATAATTCCACACCACATTGCATTGGTAACATTCAATCATTAAGATGTCTGCGTGGGGACCGAGGGTGTGCGGTATTGATCCTCGTTACCGTAAAGTGCTCGACTTAGCGTGCAGGTCGTCGGGCTACCGAAGCGAGGGTGCCATCTCCACTGCAGAGAATCAAAATTGTGAAGGCATGTCTTCGGATCATCCTCAGGGGTGTTTCCCAAACCGTCGCCAATAGCCCATCGTGCAGCTCTAGTGCGACGTAAATTAACTACAACAACAACAATCATTAAGATAAACAATTATTTCAAATGTAAATAAAAAGTAATATAAAAACCAAATTTAACCCCTCATTTAAGAAAAGATACAGGAATACTCGTTAAAAGATTAAATTGGATTTTAACTTAAACTCGCTTGTCTTCACCAAAATAAAGTTTAATAATTGTACCCAGTGCCCCTTTTTTTAGGCGGTAAATTATAATTTTTGTGAAGTACTGACTCATTGTTTTTTTTATTGTCTTTCTCTATCATCCACTGGACCTTTAGGGCCGGAATGGCTTGGTTGGTAGGGCGTTCTCCCCGTGTTCAAGAGGTCGTGAGTTTGATCCCTGTCAGCCTGAGACTTCATGTGTAGTAAATGGTGACTGGTAAAAGTTAAACCTGTTGGGCACAAAGTCCTCCACCTTCCCATATTAAATCATACTTCTGGGGGTACTAATTTGGAGACTGATCGTGCTCTGGTTCAGTTTAAAATTACGTTCTGTTGAGATATGAATGGATCAGCCCTATAAACGGGCTGTGACGTATGTGTGTGACAGAAGTAGAATTCTTGGCCATAGATGCTCCCTTGCCTTAATGGCATATAACGACATCAACAACAACCTGGACATCTGTTGCAAATTATCAAGATTCTGTATATGTTTTTTTTTCCCCAACAAAAACAAGCTTAAATTATATTTCTCAATCATTATTTCTTCAATTATCTTTCACTTCAACTAAATTCGACTCTAATATGGCATTTAAGGGTCTGCGGCAAAACTATTCAAGCACACCATGAGATATGATTCAATAGAGGATACGACACCAACCAACCAAGGGTCTGCGGCAGCTGAGCCCTAGGTGCTCCTAGGCCCCCTTCAAGTGATTTAGAAGTCCCCAAGTCGTGCTTCAGCCCCAAAGGAAAGTTATCCAGATGTTCCCAAATCGAGGGTCATCTATGATACAACCGTCGAAAATGCTTTGTAGGGCAAATTACGAAAAAGGTCCTGTAAAAAATGTAGAGTGCCCGGAAAAGATTATAATGAACATTAACAAGGTTTTATATGATTCAGGTCTTTCTTTTTTCTGTAATTGAAGAAATTAGTGAATGCTAAGTGACATTTTAAAGACATTGAAATAGATATGTTTAAGAATATTATATTATTTATTTATTTTTTAAAAAAAAAAATCGTTTCATTCTACCAAATATGTGAGTTATGTGGCGGCTTTCTTTGGATAAAGATAATTTGCAAATAACATCCGGATGTTTCTATTCTTTCTGAAACAGATTTTCGTAAATTCGCCATAAAATGTCATATGACATGTTCTTCAATTACGATCAGTTGTATCTATCACCAAATATTATTACCATATTTTCTTTGCTTAATTCCTTTTATCGCAAACTTATTTTGCGATTATTACTATCATTACATTTAAATATCTGATACGATTGTCTCTTTCCAAATAGAGTTCGTAAGGGTTTAAGAGGATTCACACTGCCCTTAATGCAGGTGGTAAATTTTAGACTACATGCGAGATAACTGAAGCACACATTCGCGAATCGTATTAGCATTGATTCATGAATCTTATTCCAGAATCGTAAATCGCGTGCAGCGTAAACGGTCGAAAGATGAGTTTGCGATTTGAATTCGGATTTTCACTTTTGGAGCAGTAACATATCAAATGCTTATGGATGGTTGTCTGAATGTGAACAATAAAAACTTTTTACTACCGGAAAAAATTTAGAAAACTTTCGGTTTATCCATCCGCTTATGTGATGCTTACGAGGCGATGTGTGAGCAGGATAAATATTCTAGGAAGTTTTAGTGTTATTTATGCTTAAATTTACACATCATTTTACCATTCATTAGGTTTTCCATACTTTATAAATTCTAACAGGCTGTGAGCCTAAGACAAATTTAAGAAAATTATTATCACAATATAAATGAAGTGTGAGGTTTCCACGTTTTTAGCTTTATGGGTGGTGCTTTCCGCACTAGGGAACGCTGCAAGCTCTATACCGCCTATACTTCCGGGTTACTGTTTCCGGTGTATTTTAAAGCCGTTTGGCTCACAACGTGATTATTGTGCTTTGAAATTCTTGCAAACCTGGTATTCGATTACGTATTATTTGTGTTTGTGGCGTAACTACCACTATAAATATTAAATACCAATTCAGTAGTATATAAGACATGATAACTTTATTCTATCTCGAGGTACCTTTTGATAGATGAAGGTTGACTTAGTCGATAATTTTATGTTTACAAGTAATAGTACTTGGGTTTAGAATTGGCGATCGAAATGGGCTGCAGTTTGCGTAGAGCATAACTCTCTACCTATGGCAACACTTCACATGCTTTCCCCATTAGCGTGTGGAGAGTCATAGACGAAGGAAGTACGTTAGTTTCTCTCTTGATTTTCATATAGGTTAAAATCTTTTAAGTTGGAAAACTATATGGAACTGAGAACTACATTAAACATAGTTCTAAAGAAAAGCATCACGGAAATTTAAAAGAATATTTTTATTAAATAAAAAGAAAAAATTGTAAGAAAAGGGGAAATATCGTAGTACATTCCTATACTACTGAAAAGAGGAGGAGAGGGAAGGGAGAATGGCCAAAGGCATGAAACCGAACTCTCCCCAGATGGCGTATTCGAGCGTTGCGATCGTCAATGCTAAAGGTACTAACACTGATGTAAGATGGTTCACAGCTAGCAACAAGAACAAACAGTAATTATCAAATGTAAAGAGGCCAAATCAGGACTGACAAAAAAGCGAGTTATTCAAAGTCTAGCAACCATGCCACCTTTTCTAACAATATATCTCTAAATAACTAGAACAAATTTTCACTTCAAACTCACCAGAATTACTTAATAACATCTTGACTAACTCGAAAACAAAATTATCCGTTTGAAAATATCGCCGCGCAGAATAAGCTGTAGTAAGCAGTTGCAAACTTTCTAACAGGAATTAAAGCAGGTATTGAACTCGAGATTGCTATTGTTTACATTTATATGGATGGTTATATGCAAGGCGATACTTTCAAACGGATAATTTTGTTTTCAATAAAAGAAATAAATTAGATAATTTCTGAGCTCAAATCTGCCGTATTTCATTAGATATTAATGTTATTAAGTAATTCTGGTGAGTTTGAAGAGAAAAATTGTCTTAGATATTTATAGATATATTGTTAAAAAAGGGCGAGATGGTTGCTAGATTTTGAATAACTCGCTTTTTGGCAGTCCTGATTTGGCCTCTTTCCATTTGTTTATTACTGTTTGTTCTTGTTGCAAGCTGTGCACCATCTTACATCAGTGTTAGCACCTCTAGCATTGTATACAAAAGTATTGTTAGCATTGTAAAAACAGGTAATAAGTAATCAAATATCACGTTTGCTGGAATCTCAAAACACGATGATCACGTTGTGAGCCAAGTAGCTTTAAAATACACCGGAAACAGTAACTCAGAAGTATAGACGGTATTTCCCTAGTGTAGAAAACGCCATCCATACCTAATTTGGCTACGTTTGTGTGTTCCCCTTTTTTTTTTGAGTAGCATCATAGCAAGTTTGAGACTCTTTGGAATTCATTTGTTGCTTGTTTCGTTGAAAGTTAAATTGAAAGAACGTGTTATTTTGAAATGATGACAAGTACAATAATATTTGATGGCACGCTTTTTCAAGCTTTAGTGTTAAAATCAGTCGGAAGTAGTAACCCGGAAGTCTTGCGATGAATTTACACCAACAGCGCCATCATTGCTTAGCTTTACACGGTCAACCACCCATTTAATGTTTTTTTTTGTTTTGTTTACAAATAATTAATATTTTGTGTATGGCAATAGAGGCATCCGATTTGTTATGGTCGCGGTGCCGATTTCGGTCCGGTAGTGTGTATTTTGTTATGTGATTTAAAAAATGCACGTGTGTTGATTGTTCAAAGTTTTATGCTTTGATAGTGATCATAAAGAAGTAAAACTTCAATATGAATGAGCAAAATATTTTTGCCCCATTAAATAAACTTTTATCTGAGTATTCATCGCTTTCGCGCAACTTCGCTCCGTTTCTGTCTGCTCAGGTAATATATAATACCAAAAGTTGGAAAAAAAAAAAAAAAAGGAAACTGATCAGCACATGAATCAGTTTTAAAATATAAACTGTAAATTTTTTTAAATCAAAAACTCTGCTTGTTGTTTGTCACTATTTAATGTTCTTTTTATAATAAAACAATCAAAATTATATAACGAGTTGGGTATTTATAAAAAACCCCTCTAAAATGTTTACAGAACTATGAATATAATTTTAATTGATATCTTATATATTTACTCCTCGAATAAAATATTTTCGCTATTTTCTTCAGTTGCAATGTTGCTTCAATATTTATTTTGTTGAAAAATTGAAAGAGAAGTAAATTTCTGTTCCCTTGAAAAATTAAATGGTGTCGATTTATTTATCTTAAAAAAGAATTTTTTTTTTACCTGTGCTCTTCTCCTTTTATTTAAAAATATCGTATCAAAGAGTTTGTACCCTTTATGAAATAACGTCTCTCTTGTCAGTGTTTACTAGTGTTATTTATCTGTTGTCATCACAATTTTAAATTTTTATTCTGGGAAGACTTCCTTATCGTGATCTGCTGCACAAAAATCGCCAAATTTTTGCGACTTCCAGGCACGAAATAAAAAAAAGAAACATTGTAAGGGACCAGTGCAAATTGTATAACTTGCAGCTGCCCCCCCCCCAGTTAAAAATTTACATGTTTTTTTTTTTTTTTTTTTTTTTTTTTTTTTTTNTTTTTTTTTTTTTTTTTTTTTTTTTTTTTTTTTAATTTTAAGTGTAAAATGCATTTGGTGCCTTGGTGATTGCAGCTATGGTGTCAAACCATGATATGGAAATATCCCCATTATAGAATTTTCTTTAAAGTTTTATTTACCCTTTGTAAAATGTACAAAAAAAATAGTAATCATCAGTCTTGTATGAGTATATTATACGAGTACTGTCATGTGCTAAGTATAAAAGATTTGTTTAATCTTGTATTTCATATTTTTTAATATAGTAAATATGGTTGGGAAGATTATAGGGTATTTCTATTTAAGAAGACTGTAATAGAAAGAAATGACAGTTATATGCAAAAGAAATAGAAATAAATATTTAGCAAAAAGAAAATGCACTTTTGCCTTATTTTGGACAATAAACCCTATGTGTCCTGCTCAAAACTAGTTGAGGATTTTCAAAATCCCAAGCCATAAATCTTAAGTAATTTTTTGTTGATGTGGTTGCAGGTTTGCATTTATATTCAAAATATTGATGACTTTGCTAAGAGTTTATTTGCATGATGCATATATTTTTTATTTTAGAATATGATGCAATAAATTTTTCTAAAAGCTTACTAGTGTTTAAAACCTAATACTGTGAGCAGTGTCATGTTTTTTTTAAAAGCATTTTCATTGTTAAATTAAAGTTAGTTTTACTTTAATGAATATAGTTACTTTAATGAATATAATCTTTGTTGATTTAAATCATTAAGTTCATTATTGAAGTTTGTTGATAGTTGAAAATATTACTCATTTACAAGATAAAAAATTTTTTGCTCTTGAGTTTGCTTTAGTTTTTACTTTTGAGTTTCTGGGGAGAAAGTAAAAATTATGCGGTTAAGGGATCTTTAACTTAATAAAGTTTTGACTGAAATTTGTTTCTATGAGTCAAACAATTAGAAATGTTGTTATAGGAAAAATATAAATTTCATCTCTAAGCAAATGTTTCAGTTTTAGTTGCCTTTTTTTGTGCTATATTTCCATAATCTATATTCTATACTTAATATTACCAAATTTTGTATCAGGTTGCTTTATTATTTTTCTAATATTCTTCTTTTTTATTTCACTTAGTTTTAAATAGTTCCTTACAACTTATATTGAACTGCTGCATATTTTACTGTTGTGCCCAAAATGTTAGCTTTGAAAGCAAATTATTAATTATCAAATTGCTATTTGACTGCTTTTTAACATTTCTATTTTCTGAATCTAATTATAATTTATAAATGAAGTTCATGAAATTTTGTTCCTTAAATTTTTAATTGAAGGATAGGTTATCAAAAAAATTTAGATTAATATAATACTTTTAAAATTTTTCAATGAAAATATTTTGATATGAATGCATTACTCAGTTAAACATACTTTAGAATTGTTTAACTTATTTGTTGTAAGTATAAAGGAATTTACATGCATGCTCGTAAAAAAGAGGGCTTACCAAAATGCATTAGAGCAGAATAAGTTATCCATTGATTCAGCATTATTAACAAAAATTGAAATATAAAATAATTCTATTTGAACACCTTTATCCCTTTTTTTTTGCTTTGTGTTTTTAACAAAGCAATTTTGTTTTCAATTTTAATGAATTGCTTTAAATTGTTTCATGTCATCAGAAGCAGGTTTTTCTCTGTGCAAACGAAAAATTCCTAAAGATGGCAGGAAAAATAAAATTCTCATTCTTTCCAAATGGTACTCACATTAGTATAGGATGTTTTTAAGCATCATTGTACACTAATCATTTGCATAATATTTCCCAACTAATACTAGATTCTTCTTAGAATGTTTTAAGAAAGTTTAATGAAGCATAATTGATCCTCTACATATTTTTAAAGTTTCATTATCCAAACTTTTCAAAATTGTTGGATCATGTTTTTCAAAATTGGATAAGTGCATATAAGATATAATTGTAATTTTATAATCATTATATATATTTTTCTTTTTAAAAAGTATCAGACTTTAAATTTTTAAAGATAAATTTGATAAACATTGGATAATTTATAATATGATGGAAGTTAAGCATCTTTTTCAAAGAAGTTGACTTATTTATACATTTGTTTATTGAAGTTGACTTAATTACACCAGTTAAATAGTCACTGTTTAACTGCTTTAATATTTGTAGAGAATGTTTATCAGAAAATTAGGGTATTTTACTGTAAAAAAAAGAATCTTAATTTATATGAGCTAATAAATAATTGAAAAAAGTAATAAAAATTATATTCTGATATAAAAGTTCTGCATTAAACTTTAAAGTACACGTTAATTTACGTTTTTAAATTAATTAAGAAAAACTTTCGCAGTTTTTATCTACTCCATAGTGTCCTAAAAAACATTTCTCATTTTATTTATTCCTTCCTTTTAGCATCATTATAGTCATGGAGCTGAAAAACTTTTTTTTTTCAATTTTCCAAGAAACAGTGAGACAGCAAATATTAAAAAGTACAAGCTTTAGTTAAGTTCAGCTTTAAAATTTTTAGTTTTCAAGTCAAAGTAAGATGCTTCACATAGACATCTCGTTCAAGTATTTCTTTGTTAAGACTTATTTTATTCAAAAAATAAGCAACTTAAATTCTGTAGGAAAACTGTTTTTTAATATTCATTTTTATGAAATCTAAATATGAGATTAACATTTATTGATTTTGAAACTTGTTGCAAGTCTCTAAGTATAATAAGTGAGTTATAAGAGTTAATTTTATGTATAATAAAAAAGAAACACACATATAAATTAAATATATTAGGTTGTTGTTGTTAATTTACGTCGCACTAGAGCTGCACTATGGGCTATTGGCAGACGGTCTGCGAAACATCCCGGAGGATGATTCGAAGACATGCCATCACAATTTTGATCCTCTGCGGAGGGGACGGCACCCCCGCTTCGGTAGCCCGACGACCTGTGCTCGAAGTCGAGCACTCTACGGTAGTGCAGTTTAACGAGGACCAATACCTCACACCCTCGGTGCCTACGCAGACTGATCCAAGTGGTCACCCACCCGCACACTGACCGTAGCCAGTGATGCTTATTATTATATTAGGAGATAACCAGTCTGAATAAGTATAATATAAGATACATATAAGAGGAATAATATGGGATTCAAAACAGCGTATTACATAATAATTTATTTTATTTTTATTGAAGTGTCAGGATTTATACAGGATATACAGTTTTTCAATAACTCATATTTAATAAATTTATGAACTGTAATGATCGATTCAATTTCTTAAAAGTATCTAATATAATTATTAGAACTGTGGGTCACCAAAGCTCTAGGAGAGTCAAAAGTTAAAATGGTTTTTATATATTTAAAATGATTTTTAAGTAAAAGTTTCAAAGTGTTAAGTTTAATTTGTTCATTTTTTTCCAGTCACAGTCGTTTAAGAACATTGATGCAATACTAAATGCTCTCTCTGAAATTCTCTGTACTGAGAGTTATACTATAAGAATTGCCCAGTTGTTCAGCCCTTTGCTGTTAGAACTATTGACACGTGCTAGTTGTTTTCCTGATAATGACTCAGTGGATGGTTATACTAAACATGAACTCTTTTGCATTGCTTTATCAAAGCTTTTGTGGAAATTTCCTGAAGTTGAAAGGTAAATATATTTACATATTTTCATTATGAATTTAATATTTTGTGAGTAAATGTATTTTATCTTTGTTAAATTAATTACAATCTTTATTCTTAAATGTATGTTATGATCTATAAATTCCTAAATTAACTTATAAAAATCATTTTCAGTGAAAGCTGCTAATGCAATTCTAATTTTAAAACAATAATTCATTGAAGGTTTTAAACAAAATCAAATAAACATTATATGTACAATCTAACAATGTTTATAATTTTCAATTAGCATAACTACATTGTGCACATAATATAGCATGAGATGTTTGAAGTTCCATAACAAGTAATTAAAGTTTGTTTTTTGTATATGTATTTTCCAATGCATTTAAACTTTTTGTTTATGTGTAACATGTTCATCAAGTTAATTACAAAATTTTAGTCAGACTGACTTAAAGTGAGAGGAAAAAAAAAAACTGTTTTTGTCAAGTGTAAAAATAGAATAGATCATTATTTTATTTTGCCAAAGTCTATAAATCAAGTAAAATGGAAAAAAAATGGACTGATTTAGCAAAGATAGACTGACTTAAAGTGAGAGGGGGAAAAAAAGTGTTTTTGTCAAGTGTAAAAATAGAATACATCAATATTTTATTTTACCAATGTCTATAAATCAAGTAAAATGGAAAAAAAAAATGGACCAATTTAGGAAAAAAAGAAAAAGTATTTTTAATCTATATTTTTTCTTTTTGTAGCAGCTTAATGTTTTTATATTTTCTAAAGCTTAAGCCGGTTTTCTAAAATCCACTAAAATGTCTTTTCCATTTTCTTACTATGCTCTTCTTTGAATGTATTTTAATGAGCAGTCTTGATAGGCTTGATGTGAGTGAATTTAAGGCTACAAAAGTTTACTTTCACGTCTCTATAAATTTGAATTGAACTAAAAAAAGTGAATCTCTGAATTAAGTATTTGTATAGACACTGGGAGAACGTTTTGGGAAAAACTAAAGAAAATGCTCAGCGATACTTTGCTATAACGCTTCAATTTTGAATCACACTAAACATTCCTTAGTTTAATCAAAGGTTATTTCACCTATAGGAAGGAGCAGACGTATGAAATTTAGGGTAAATATCGTATATATATATATATATATATATATATATATATNATATATAAAATTTTTATTGTTGAAAAACGTATTCTTTGCAGCTTGTTTATCTTTAAAACCCATTATCCAGAAAAATTTATTTTTCGGTGTTTCAGAAGTATCAGCTATTCTGGATATGGTCTATATTCATTAACCAAGCAAATTAACTAGTTATGTTTTTTGCTTTTCAATTATTTATATTTTCAAACTTTCTATGATAATTAAATATCCGTAAAAATCCATATATTAAATATCCATATTTGTTTCCGTGTTTTTGAAAGAAATGTTATCAATTTTTATTTATTTATTTATTTTTATTATAAAAATCAATTTTAATAATTTTTTTGTATCACTGCAGTTTATTAATGGTTCACTTTCTTTATTGCATTGTCCACAGTTTTCATTTTTATTTTTCCATCTTTTTTTATGATATCATTAATTTGAAAATGTTATTATATTTTCTAATTCTTATTATTTAGATTTGCAAAGAAATATTTTGAAAACTCTCGGAATTTGTTTTGGCGTTTTGAGAGAGAAGTTCAAGAGCCACCTGCTAAAAAGATTAAAGTTTGTATTTTTTGAAAAAATAAAAAAACTATTTAATTTTAATTTTATGGAGAATTATATTTATTTCTTATTTTTTTCATAGACTGAGGTGCCACATATTTCACAACTGTTGCAAGCAGCTTATATCTTTTTGATATTTGAAGAAAAGTATTTCAAAGATTCATGGTCTTGGTCTGTTATAGCACATTTTTTAAACAGTGAGAATGTTAGATGCAGATGGTAAGGATGTTATCTTACAAGATAATTTTATGAATGCTTAATTATATTTTTTTCAGCTTCGATTATTTAATTTTATACAATTCGTTACCACACTTTATCTCCAGTAGATAAAATGAGAGCTACAAAATGTGATCAGCAGGTGGTACAATTGTTGACACCATACTACACATTTAACACATAAATTAAGTTTGCTACAAAAAAGGAAGTAATAATTTGCCTCTTAATATTAATTATTATTATTATTTTAATTTTTGGTTTAATTATTTTCAAATTATAAGTTGTGAAAATATGAGTAGAGTTTTGATTCAATTTGTGAAAAGTTTTGTAAAAAAAAAAAAAGGCAATAATTAAAAAAAGAAAAAAATTCTGCCATTATAATGTTAAGAATTAAATTTGTAAAGTATTTAATTTTTAATACATTTTTTCCACATTTTATTTATTGGAAAATCTTGGAACTATTGTTTCAACGCATTTTTAAGTTTTGTTCTAATTTAAATGTTGAGAAGTTCTGACATTCTATTTCTTTTATTAGTATCTATAAAATTTGTACTTCTGAAATTCTATTAATTCCCCTTGCCTTACATTGATTTGACTATCTAATTTGTAATCTAAAATCCAAATTTTGATTATTTGATAAAATACTATTTTCTTACTATTTAAGTATTAAGTTACACTTCTGATTTAATAACTTAAAATTTTTTTTGTGCATAATTGAAATATATTTTCAATGTTGGTTATAAATTAATATTTATTAGACTTTATTTAAAATTAACAATATTGTTTACTCCTGACCGTGTTTTTAGATTAAAATTGATCCCATTGTAGCCTTTTTTAAATATAACACTAGATTAATTATTTTTTTGACTTATCCACTCCATCCTCATGTAAAGTGAGCTAGTGTGGGCAAAAATAACTTAAAAAAGAAAAGGATATTAAAAAAGTAGTTTATTTGTCATTAGAAAAAAAAATTAGTATTTTACTACTGCTAATAAAAAACTATGAATAATCTTTTAAGTATAATCTTTTGGCAAATTTATAAAAATTGTTCAAACTTGCCCCTCTCCCCTATATTTATATATAGAACATGGTGCATCGCATTTTTAAAAAGTGCTTACAGGTGCTTATTTTTGATTTTCGTTATTTAGAAACCCTTAAAGGTGTTTTTTCCATGGGGTGTTTTTAAAAAGTGCTTAATTTTCCCTTTTGGAAAATTTTTGCATATTTTTTTCTTTATTATATTGATTTTAGGTAGATCAAAAATGGTAGATGCAAAATGTTTGATGAAATACTACAATTAGGTAGATGCAAAAGCGTGCAAAAGCATGCAAAATGTTTGATGAAATACTTGCGAGTTCGTACGTGCGTCTACTGATCTGGTTTCGGTGAGGTTATTGCCTTCTCATAAGCAACTCTACTGCATCTTGTAAGATATTCTCAATTTTAAAGTTCATTCCCCCCCCTCTAATAGCGAACCGAAAAATTTCTTGATCATTTTATAAAAGCTATTATAACCAATAAAAGAGTTGTTTGTCAGAAATTAGTTATTTTTTCATGATCATCTAAAGTCTTTGAAAATTAGTTTGCATTTTGTAAATGTATGTAGTGCTTAAAAATATTTCTTGAGTGTTTAAAAAGTACTTAAAAGGTGCTTATTTTTTGTTGAAAGATTTGGCTATGCACCCTGTAGAATAATTTATAACTTGCTTATTAAAAGTTTTTGTTAAACAAAATATCAGAAAAATTTAGCACATACTATCTCTAATATGATTGTCTTTATTGTAACATAGAATTTTAATTTATTTTGAATGTAAAATATAAATATTTTGCACTTCTATTTTATTGTGTTATTGACACATGAAAATATTTTTATAGGTATGCCCATCAATGTTTACGACTAATTGGAAAGATGAGTGATAAAGATTTTAACATCCTCTTGGAAAATAAGTTTTCACCCATGGAAATAATAGCTTATTCTAAAGAGTAAGAGTTTTGTATTTAGTATTAATTTCATATGTCCCATTATTGTAAGATTTATAAGAGTCAAGCAGTATATACTTGAATTTAGTTTACATTCAGTTCCTCTGGTTCTATCAATTAGTAGTTTTCCTATTTTTAAGATGATATTTTCTTTATTTCAATTACTGAACATTTAAGTCTTTTATTATTGTTTTAGTTTTTTGTTAAGTACCTTTCAAGAATCCTCAAATATTTGAGGGTTTATTTTCTTGAAAACTGTCCCCTTGAGTATGCTAACTCTGTTGCTAATTTTAAAAAATCACTAAAATATTTTCACTTGTAGTCTAAACAGCTTTATTTTTTATAGTTAGACAACCTACAAGTTTTGTAAAATGGAATGCACTTTATGCAAGGGCTAATGCCAGATTCTTAACTAAAAAATACCTGTTTTTAAGAACATTTTTAGCGAGATTTTTATAATGTTCTGTAAAAAAAATATGCTCAAAATTTAATAAATAAATATATAAAAAGGTAATTTAGAAGGAACTCTTTTTCTTAATAATAAAATTGTAATCGTAAAATTGTCCTAATTGCCTACATCTCTTTATAACAGAATACTTATTAATATACTTACTATTCACAATAAGTACTCATATATATGTATTACAATTAATTCAAATTTACTTTACCTTACAACTTATCTTGGCCACACATTTACTAAAAATGTACATATGAAGACTGATCTTTTTTGTTTTTCTAGGATAATCATGATTTTTGTGAAAATTTGGATTTACTACGTAAATTTTTGTGTTATAATTTTTTCTGGATCAGTTATTGAAAAAGAGCCAAAAAATAGTAAAATCCACGATAAGCACAAAAACAATAGTAAAATCCACATTGTATTAGACTCTGTTATGTGAACTTGAAATGATAAGGAATAAAAAGTTTAAAAATTTTACTAAAAATGCATTGTAACTCATACATGTCAATTATTTAAGATTTTTCATATTTTTTTAATTTTTAAGTATGAGTTGAAAAAGCTGATTGCAGCTTTGCTAGCTTTTTATGTGAAATTCATTCAGCTTCTTCAGTTTCTGGAATCACAAATCGATTGTAATTCATTTACAAATCTGAATTTATTAAAAATTTTCTGTCTTGTTTTTCTAAAGTATGAGGTGAAAAAATGTCTGTTGTTTTATTTTTTTATCATATGAAATTCATTCAACCCCATAGATTTCAAGTGTCATGAATTAATTAATTTTTAAATCTAAGTTTCTAAGAAGTTTCCTGTCGCTTAACTCGAGAGTATGAGTTGATAAAATAATTTGAATTTTGCTATCTGTTTGTATGAAAATTAGTTGGCCCCATTAGTTTTCAGATTATTAACTGATTTATTTTTAGTGGGAAATTAGTTCAATCCCATTGATTTTAAGTATCACAAATTGATTGACCTCCTTTGTTTCTTATGTCAAAACAATAATTGACATGTCTCAGACGTCTTCAATACAGAGATGCCAATTTGCTCTGGACAGGAAATAAATATTTTAAAGTGGTAGTTTATTAATTGTGATTCTTGGTTTAATGAATTAAAATTACTAGATTTTTATCCACCACTAATTCTAAATAATTCATAGGGTTAATTCACCACTTTATAGTAGTTATGTCATGCTTTACATTTTAAAAAGCAAGCAAAAATAGTCAAATATTTGCAAAATTTAGTTTGTAGTTATTTACCGTTTTTAAAAAAATTTTTTTTTGACATGTCCGGAGCAGTTGGCATCTCTGTCAACATTCTGTTGCGAGTTGTTGTTTACAGTGCAATCAAAGATCATTTCTTGATATGTCAAGGGGTTAAGATTGATTTGTCTATTAGAAATTTCCTGTTATGTTTCTTAAAAGAATAAGTCCCTTTTTATGTGAAATTCATTCATCCGTATTGTTTTTAATTTGTTATCACATGATATATTTCTTGTGTATCAATATTTTACATATATTCTTTTCCCTTCAGATTAAGTGATTTGTCTAGTCTGTGGAGTCTTAAAGGTTTTTCTAAAGGTCCATTACCAGTTTTAGGAGATAGTAATAAATCTCTTAAAGAATTCCTTTCGTCAGATGTAGTCGATATGTTTGGCGTTCTTTTGCCAAAGTACCAAGAAGTTGAAGTAAGTCTCTTATATTTTTTTAATTCATCTAAGATTTTTAGTTCATTTAAATGTATTTTTTTGTGTATTATTTTATATATATCCTATTGAAGTTCCAGCATCTTTTTTAATCTTTAAAATTCAATTAATATTTGCTTTGGTAACTTTTAAGTATTATCATTATGTTGAAATGCATTATGCCAAAAAATTAAATAATAGTAAGTATTTCCAAAATAATATTAGTCAAAATATAATGAGTCAGATGTTATTAAACCAAGACCATGGTATTTAGAAAAATAGAGGAACTTGAAATGTAGTTTCTGGTGCTACAAGAAGGATTTGCAAATTTTTCATTTGCAATGAGGCAGTGACAAATGGTTGATCATTGAACAGCTGTCGGTTTATTCATTCCATTTCTCTAAGCCTTTGCTTCATCATTGAAAAGTAATATCAGTCCTCCTCATTTACTATTTTTATTTTTATATTTAGTTTTATGACTTTTTACACCTTTTTCTGTGAATAAGCATGTAACTCCTTTTTAGATATTTTCATTATATAGTGTGAAATGGTGTGGATAGTCTGACATGTGTCCTATTATCATTCCTTTATCATTGTCTGATTAATAACTATAATATTATCATTTCACAATAACTTTGAAATAAGATATTTTGTTAAAACGTGTTTACAAAAATTTTTCTTTTATCATTTAACTAATAAAAGTTATAGTTTTTTTTCTTCTAAAGACTAATTATTCAGATAAATCAGAATAAATTTTTTTGATACCTGGTACTAAAGTAATTCTGTATTTCATTTTATTAGGTTTACTCGAATTTTGCTTTTGATTATTTATTAAGTTTGTTGAAATTAATTTAAGAAAATTTGATTGTCAAAAAAGTCTATGTTGATGTATTCCTTTCAGATGATTTGTATTAATATTAGTTATAAATTAAATTTTTTGTGATAATCATTAATTTTATTATGTTTTTTGTCTTTTTGACTATCTAATAAAAATATTTTTTTGAAGGTAAGATTCAATAATAATAGGCATAGTAAAATTGTTCTTTGAGACGTAAAAGATATCAGTTTTTTTTCTTTATAAATATTGTTCTTTCAAGTTTTTTGTTTGTTTGGTTTGATTAAAGTGTATCTTTCTTCCCTTCATAGCTAACAGGGGAAAGAATTGTTATTGTCCCCAGTGTTCGTCAGACTCTGCATTCCCTTGCTTTAGCAGTTGCTGCATCAGAGCCTGTCTTGTTACAAGGCCCTGTTGGTTGTGGTAAAACTTTAGTTATCGATTATTTAGCAAAGGAAACTGGACGCATAAGATTCGAAAATTACTTTAAAGTGCAATTAGGTGATCATATGGATAGTAAGGTGAGCAAAACTTATTACTTTCTCAATATCACCGCATGTATTGGTCGAAAAACCATACAACTTCTCCATGTTTCCATTTTCAATTTATTAGATGTTTTTGCTCACAAAATCTAGTATTTGATACTACAAATAAGAAAATCATAAAAATTGCATTTTATAGGTAAAATATAATATGGATTTTCATTGAAATTTACCTGATATATCTAGAAAAGTCAGGTAATTTGTTTCTGAAATTAAGTAGAAAGCTTGCTTAATATGAAAAAAATTTGATTTAAATATTTTTTTGTTCATTGCCATTTAAGTTTTAAATGCACCATTTACTCCAAAACATGTGCTTTCATCTTCTGAGGTTATTTACTACACGACAAAGCTGAAATCATATCTGGCATGACCAGGTTATTTTATGATAGTACAAAATATCAAGGGATCTGAATTTGGTTTTAAAAGATCTTATTTGAGTTAAAATTAATTTAATACTACTTTTGTGTAATTTATGGTTGATAATATTTAAAAGCAATCTAATTAGATCAATTTTAACATAATTGCAATTATTTCAGGTTTGTTTAATAATGAACAAGTTATATGCTTGCTAATGAACATAAATTTTATGTTGCATTATTGGTTCAAGGGCAATTCCTTAATACAAAGGACAACATAGCAAATTGATAAACATTTAATAGCATCCTTCTATTAGCAAATTTCTTAACTTTTTATTAACTATTTTAATTATGAAATCAAAAATGTTAATATTTAAGTTTTTGTAATAATAATGAAAAAAATTTATTAACAGTTTTAATATAGTTTGTATTTGTAACATCTGTCACAAGCCCTTTTTTTCTATTTGCCATTTTCTATATGTCATTTTAGTTCTGCTTTCATATTTCCTGTCAATTTGAAGTTTTTATTAAGTATATTTTAAATAAATAATCACATTATTCCTTGTAGAAGAAGGAGAATTTCAAAATAAAAATTTAATATCTTACTCCATTTCCTTTCTGTGTAACTTCTCTCATATTTTATATTTCTATTTTAAATAAAACATTTATAGTTATTATCCCTTTTTTCTATTTGCTTAATAATATTAGGCTATTAAAAAACATCCCATATAATTTCTATGGAGAATTTGTAAATATTCTCCATAGAAATTATATGGGATCTTTTAAACTTATATTAATCAATAAAAGTTTAAAAGAAAGAAAACTTATCAAAATGTAAAGTCAGTCACCATGGAATTGCCCAATGTATGATATATAACTTATATGTAACCTTCAGCAATTTTTTTCTTCCTTTTTGAAATGAACCCTGTAAAGTTTACTATATTTAAAAAAATACTTTACATTAATAATATCTATCTATTTTTTTTTAATAATTTAGAATTTTTAAATTTTGAAGGAGTGGCCACTCTCAAAAATGCTACCATTGGCAAATGACTGGTAACAAAATTTCTTTTTTCTGCCCTATACTTGCCAGTAGTTTTAGCATACTTAGTCAACAGTCTACTGTTTAAACTTACAACTTTCTTTTAATTTAATGAATACATTTTTAAATTAACAATTTTTCTACTTGTTGAATAGACTCTGTTAGGTACACATTGCTGCACTGATGTGCCTGGTGAGTTTCTGTGGAAACCTGGCATACTTGTCAAAGCTATGAGTGAAGGTCATTGGTTATTGTTAGAAGATGTTGATAGTGCACCTATGGATGTTGTGTCTTTGTTGGTTCCTGTGTTGCAGTCTAGATCCATTTTATTGCCAGGTCACGCTGCTCCTCTTCAGGCTGCTCCTGGTTTTCAACTCTTTGCAACTCAACGGTAAGTTAAATTGAAATTTCCTGATTTTTGCCATCAATCCACTTGTCAGGTACCAGTTTTCCAATCTCGCTATGAGTAATCAGAAGTACAATAACACAGAAATCTATACAGTTTGCGTGTACAAAATTCAAAATAGTGTAATTTTAAGTGTACATACTTCTTAATTCTAAATATATGCATACATATATATATATATATATATAATTAAAATATAATGTATGTAATATACATGAATATTAAAATTATGCATGAATTTATTATTAAATAAAATAGCAACTATTATATGAAAATACTAAATAAAAAATGAGCTGCACTGAAACTTTTTAAAACAATAAAATTTAATTGATTACTTAGAATCAATGTTTTAGTTTTTGGCTGAATTAGAACTGGCTTTATTGCCTTTTTATCAACCTGTATTGGAACTATTGGAAATTTTTGCTCATAGTGTTTCAGATTTAAGTATATATTACAGATATGAGTAGTGTGACATTGAAACTTTATATTTGCTTTAAAATAATAAAATTTAATTGATTTTATTTGAGATGTCCTTTTGTTTTTTATGGAGAGAAAGGTAAATTTCAAAAAAGCTTAAGAGGGTGGAAAGATGAGATTTATTTGCTTTTTTTTCTTATTTCTATAAAATAGTTTTTGTTTTTAAAATTTTCTAAGGAGTAAAAAAAAAATTTGCTGATTAGTTACGAACAGCAAAATTTCATAACTTTTGGTAGTTATGAAATCGTAATAGTTTGCTTCTCTACTCATTGTTAAAATTATAGGATTTGCTTTATTAATTTATAATTATAGGCTCTAATCAATTCCCTAGTGTTATTTTGTAAAATAATTCATTCATATGATAACTTATAAATGATGATGTAAATACAAACAATGTATATTTTAACATCATAAAAGAAGGGGACTAACAATTTTCTATAATCTATTAATTTTTAAATTTAGACTGCTTTATAAGATTTTGTTGAACTGGAGTTTTATTTCCAAAATCTAAAACCTTTTTTATGATTATAAAAATATCAAATAAAAGTGTCATGATAAAAAAAAAAAAAATCTGTAGCGGAGACATAAGAGAACATTTTACGCTGTAAAGTTGTATTCAAGAGTATGAATTATTGTTTTATTTTAAAATTAACAAAAACATCTTGTTGACTTGAAATTTATTATTTTCAAATCAATTGTTTCAGTGTATTCATCATGAGTGTATGATTTTTATTTTAAGTAAAAAATATTGTTTCGATAATGATAATATAAAAAAAACCCTTTTGATTACATTTTTGTTTTTATTTAGAAAATCAAATGTTAACATGCATTTATTTATAGTCTTTTTCGTGGACAAGAAGGTTCATATTCAGAGTTCAGAAATAATGCTGCCCTTTTAAGTAAACAGTGGAGAAAGATAATTATGGATCCATTAACTAAAACCGAAATAGGATCTGTAAGTAAATTTTCTGCTACTTTTTTTCACAATTCATTTATTTCATAAAAGTTTTAATTTGATGCAATATATTTCATTAAATTTTTAAAAAAAATTTTGTACATTGTCTTGTATATCTAAAAGAATGTTATTTATCTTGTATATGATTTTCACTGAATAATCTTGATCTAGATATTTATGTTTAGCGTGAATATAATGTGTCTAACTTACTTAACTTATAATTTTAGGTTATACTTTCAAAATGGTCTAAGTATGAGCCTATAATGGGGCGTATACTCGAAGTATATTCAATATTTTCCTCAGATGTGAAAGAATCTTTTGAAGTAGAGCATCAAGCACACAATTTGCACCATGGCAGACTAACATCAATGAGGTGATAACAATTTTCTTATTTATCACTTAAGAACTAATTATGATTTTTTTCATTGAGCTGTAAACATTGAAATGAAATCAACAGACAGATTAAAGTTGTGATTAGTATTAAATTTTTTAAATATCCTTGATGAAAACATTTGTGACAAAATCTGGGTGTCTGGTAGAGTCTTTCATATTGATAATTTGTTGCTAACAAAATAAAACAAAAATTTTACTGGACTAAACATTTGACAACAAAATTTATTTTTCTAAGATATTGTTTACATGTTAGCAATTAATAAAAATGACATTCTTATGTGCATTTACTGGACTATACACTGGACAACCAAATTTATTTTTATAAGGTATCGTTTACATGTTAGTAATTAATAAAAATGACATTCTTTCTGCTTGCACTTGCTGGGCTAAACGTTTGACAACCCCATTTATTTTTCTAAGATATTGTTTACATGTTAGTAATTAATGAAAATGATATTTTTATCGTATGCATTGTTTAATACATAAGAATTGATATACTATATATTTAAAATATTGCCTTATTTCTTTATTATGATTTTAGTTATGAATATTTATATGAATTTATGTTTATTTATTTATTTTTTTTGCAGGGATTTATTTAAATTTTGTGATAGAATTGCCAAAGATTTTGATGCATCAAGTAATGAAATGGCTTTGAGGTGTTTTCAAGATGCTTTGGATTGCTTTTGTGATAATATACCTAATATTGAAACAAAAATTGAGCTTGCCAAATCAGTTTCTGTGAAATTTAACTTGCCCAAAGAAAAGGTGAGCATTAAAATTCAAAGAAATAAAAGTATATTAAGCAATTTAGACATTTTCAATACATATATCTACTCAATCAAATTTGATTAATATGAGCCTGAATTTAACCTGGGAATTTTTTATAGATGATAGTTTAATTATTGTTGAAAAACTTGTATTAAAATATATTGTTACAAGAATAATGAATTTAGCATGAAATATTTCAGAAACTTTGTAAAATTATTTTGTTGAAGATGTCAGAAATAATGTCATTTCTTAAACAGAATTTCAAAGCGTGCTTTTTGTTTATAAATTATATGAAGTGTAGAGTGGTAATTGCAATGACTAACAAAAAACATTGCTATGCAAACCATTAAATAAATTTTTTGTTGCTCTTGTAAGATGCAAAATCTGGTATTGACGGAAAAAAAATCATCATTCACATCTAAAGATGACGCAGAGTTTGCTAAAAATCTTAATCGCAATTTTTTTCAGGAATCAATTGGTACCTGTATTTTTTCTGAATAATATATTTTGCCTAGTTTTCTGTTGCAGGTTGAAAATTAATTAAGGAAAGACACAAATTTTAATCACATAAAAAATATAATATATATATTCCAATAAATTATTTCTCTTCAGTTTAAATTAAAAGCAATAAAAAGTAAGCTATTTCTAAACATTTTGAGTTCATTTTTGAACATTATAGCTTTTATTGTGATAATTTTACTTGACTCGTTAACTTTAAACCCTATATTCTTATTATGAACATATTTAACTGATTATATATATAGCTGAACTGTGCTCTAGTGTATTTTTTATAATTGCATATCCTTTTCATTGTTTATTCAGTATAATGTTATTAGAAAGAGAAAGTAATTTTATTTTCTTTATTTACAAACATATTTATTAATTTCATAAAAATAATGGAAATATTAAAAAAAGTAATGGATAATTCATTAGATATAAATTTAATCGCAGGCTTTGAAAATAATAACTGTTATAAAAAGACATTCTAACTCATGTAACTTTTCCACTGCACCCTATGGCTTTTCTGAATACAATTTGGGAACTACTGATATAAAAAACCGTAAAATCTAAAAAATTAATGTAAATACTACATCTTTTAATTCCACAATAAACCACGTTTTATAACACTTCACAAAATGATTAAATAAAATTTTCAAATTAGAAAAGTGTGGTTGATAAATTTATTGAATTCTTTGTAAAACGAAAAAAAAAAAAAAAACATGCTAAGGTTATTAATGTGGGCTGGAGACTCCCATTTTCCGAAGAGAGTGCAATTAATACTTAGTAAAAATAATCTGTATTTCACCATAGATTGTGCCTAGGACCATCCAGGATAAGAAAAGTTGGTTCTGCTTTTTAGAGAATTCAAAATGTTAACATTTATTGAGCATTAACATCAAAAGGAATAGTGGTTTAGATCATTTCCTGGAGACTTTTTCTGCCCATTGATTCATTGTCTATGAGAAACTGTTTGTTTTGAAACCATGTGCGGTGTTTAACACCTGTTTTTGAGTGATTTTTTATTAATTGAAAAAAAAAAAATCTGATCACCATATTGGAACATGTAGTTCAGTTCACTGGGTGTTAAAACAACATCAGGTGTATGGAATAACTAACAGGACTTAATGTATTGGTTGGTAGTTGGGGGGTCGTATTGAAAAGAGCGTGAACTGGATCTATACATATATATTCATTATAAGGCAATATTAAACTATTTTAACCATTAAAGGATTATTCTTATGAATTATTATACCTAAAAATATTAATAAATATTTTTTCTTCAGGCAGGATTTTTCTATCAGTGCTATAGACCAGCTTTAGAAAATGGTGATAATGTAATAATTGGAAGAGCGAAAATGCTAAAGAAAACGAAACAGATTTCGTTTACAAGGTAATAAACTTGTAAATATGCAGGTGCAGTCATTATTTTAGAATTAATTCACATTATAAATCTATTGAAATTGTTTATCCTTGTAACTTGGAGTTAAGAATTGTGTGATGTATTTGTTTCAGCGTTTTAGTTAATAACTTCCTGAAAGAAATCTAAAATTCGAAACTCTTCTTTCAGGAAGTTACATTTGAATTTCTTCTATAGTTTTAAAATAGAAGGACACAAATAAAAATAACAAACAAGTTGTAAAAATAACATTGGCATTAATTAATATTTCTTAATGTGAAGGGAAATATTAATTGTTACAGACATGTAAAAAAGTTGCACTCTCAAAAATTGTTTACTAACTTGATTGTTTTATTTAATGAGTTTTAATAAGTGCTAACTTAAGTTTTTTTTATCCTAAAGGAACAGAATCTCGTTTACCTAACAATCTAAAGATGTTATCATAGATATATCTAAAGCACTGCTTTTTAAGAGGAAAAATAGCACTTTGAAACAATAATTATTACCAACAGAATAACCCTAATGTTTTCTAACTTAACAAAAAAGTAACATTTAATATTCTTATGATAAAAATTAAACCTCAATTTTAAGTTTTTCCTTTCTTTTATCCTTTTTTTTCTCTTAAAAATCAAAGTTTGTATTAATTTTTCCTTTAATTTTTGGTATTTTTTATATCTTAAATGTGCTTAAATAAAACTTTAAATCATAGGTTAATATTTATGATAAAAATTAATAGCAAAATAGCTCTTTCGTTTTGAATGACATGAAAAATTCATGTTAAATGACCTAAGTGTTTGCACTTTATTTTCAAGGAGTGTGAAAAGTACATTTGCTAATACTCGTCAAGCATCATGTTTGCTAGAAAAAGTTGCAGTCTCTATTATCAATGAAGAACCTGTACTCTTAGTAGGGGAAACAGGAACAGGGAAAACTTCAGTTGTACAACATTTATCAGAATCTATAAGTAAGTGAAAAAAAATAGGCATGTTTTCTCTTTATAAATTATACTTGGAATTAATGTTTCGAAGTGTACATTTGTAGAGTGGTCATTCTGAGGTAATGGTACATTTTTGTAAGTGTTTTTAAATAAGTGTAATTTATTATTAATTTTCTTAATTTGTATTTAAATATTAATCTGGGCTGTATAAAATCAAAACTTTCTGCTCGTGCGCAAAGCACAGATGCCAACTGAATGGCACCCATCAGTGTAACATTGTTGGTGATAAAAAGTTTCAAAACGAAGATTTACCGTAAGGTAATTTCTATTCCTCCTTTTAACCCTTCCCCACATGGTGAAAAGTGCCAACAAGAAGTGACAGTTTTTATTTTTAATCAAGGTTTTGGGTTACATGGTTGCTTGTTCGTTAAACTTACGACGTGTGTGTGGTCATGGGTGAAAATATGAAAAATATTTTTTTCTTAAATGTGTTGTAATTTTGTGTTACAGTGTTTTCACTACAGCGCGAGAAAGCGAGAATATCGCATATTTTTTTCTTTTCTCGGCACTAAAAAATTATTACCGCGAGAGATTCGCGCATTCTATAAATCAATTTCAAAATTCGCGAATTTCTCGCATTTTGGAAAAAGCTTTGAATTACGCCATTTAGAATAAAATCCGTTTCACTTTTCTTGCTGAATCTTTCATTATTTTCAACATCTGGTCTGTTATCTAGGAACTCTACCTTAGGAATGGAAATAATACTGAACATACTTACATACACTGTTGGCATACACTGTTATACATGATAGGAATAAAAAAAGAACACCATGTGAATGTAAGAGAATTGTTTTCAAGTTATGGCTCTGAAATTGAAATAACGAGAGCTGTTATGGGCTACAAGAAGAAAAAAGTGATTCTCGGCATCTATGAAATGCAAGACGTGCTTTAGATACACTCGCAAACGTCATTCGATTACTGGACTTTCAATCATTGAGAAATCTCTTTAGAGTTTTATTTTTCTGTTATTGCTCTACTCTGTTTGTATAATTGTTAGTCTTTTATTTTCTCACATTTCTAATGTTTAGAAATAAATCAAAATTATAAAATTATAGTTTGTTTGAAATTAGTTTTTGTAACTAGTTATTTATTTTTTTAAACTTGTTTCATAGAAGTTAAATTCCTTGCAGAAGTAATGCTAAGTTGACAATTTTCTCAGCAAGCTTTTTTACTTGTTTATACTTGCCTATGATGAATATTAAAACTATCTTGAATTTTAAAATATGCTTATTAACTAATGAATTTTAAATTATCTGTAATAAAATATAACATTGCCTATCTACGTTTAAAATTAATTAATTTTCATTTGAATGCTACATCACTTGTATTTTGCAACAATAAGGTTAATTTTTTTAAGTAACAAATTTACTATCAATATTCATTCCTGTCGTTTTTTGGGGGGCGAAAATGGTGAAATAGCAGCTATTGTAAAAAATGTGACGCAATTGACAAAATACGACGTAAAATTGCTGAGCATGATACCGTGTTTAATACTGGAACTATAAAAAAACTGATCTCATGAACTTATTAGTGTGTGATGATGTCATTTTGTGATGGTTAGCAATTCATTATAGTTTTAAATGTTGTCTTATTTTTAGACAAATAATATGATTTATTGTAATTAAAATTCATATTCTTTTGAAACATGAAATGCTAGCAATCTTGCCTTGAATATTATCAATATGTAAGAATTTTAGCAAGAGTTTATCATTTTAAAGATTATTAAAATAAAAAACATGTATATCAAAATTAATTGATCTATTGATTTATTTTAATTTATATTTCAGATCAAAAGTTGACTGTTATTAACATGAGTCAACAAAGTGATTCCATTGATCTGCTTGGAGGGTAAGACACATTGTTTTAAAGTTATAGCTATTTTTTTAGATGATTAATTGAACTTTGTTTTAAAATATTATTAAAATTCCATTAAATTTTTAATTTAAAAAAATCTTGCTAATGTAAAAATTAAATATTATTTTTTTTATTGGCTACGCACTTTAAAAATAATAATAATCAAATTGCTAGGGTAATTAAATTAAGAAAATTAAATTTAGGTAATTGTTTAACAATATTTTCTTGCTATTGCCTCTTTAGATTAAGGGAACAAATTTAAATTTTTTTTTTATAGTGAAATATTTTAATCTATTATTAAATTTTTCTTTTTCAAGAAAATAAACATTCTTAAGAAATATTTTAAAGTTTAATTAATTTTGAAAGAAATATGTATTTTTGTTTAATAATTTATTAAGGATTTTTTGAAAGCTGCTATCTTCTGTGCAATAGTGCCGCAATATAATCCGTGTAATAAGATGAGGTTATGCAAACAATAATGCATGACAAAATTTCTAATAAAATTCTTATTTGCTATCCTCATTGAAAAAAGAAACAATTAGAGTCCATGGAAACAAACTGAGCAAATACTGCCTAGAGAACTTTCCAGATTATTTATTGTTGTTGATGTGTGTGAGTTGTGAGGCAAAAGTTGTACACAAGCAACAGAAGTGCAGTAAAATACTATACAAAATACTACTAATGCACTTTGTCTTAGTAACTGTCTCTGAATTCTCCAATATACTTAAAGTAAATGCATTTCCATTACAATGAAAAAGGGGAAAAAATGATGAATGCGTTTGATGTTATTGTAGATTACATTACAATTTAGTAACATGTCACATGATTACCACAAAGAAGTAAACTCTAATACATATTTAAGGCAATCCTCTGATGGCACAGTCTATTATGATGTCACTCACACTGCCGGTGGTCATGAATTCGATCCAGGCAGTTGGCAGAATAGCGGTCATGTATATGCTACAACATGCACATCAAGACTGCTGCTGAGAATCCTCTCGTTGGTTGTGAATGTTTGGAGAGAGGGGTACCAGTTTTAGTATTGTCCGCATTGTATGACCAGGATCAAAACTAAGTGGCATCCGTACGATGACCATTAAAAGATAGAGCACAAAAAATGAGACTTAGCTGTGGTTGGGTAATGTGTATACTGAGTGCAGTTTGGTTTCTGTAGTCAATTCATAGATTGTTATAAATCTTGAAGGGCTGTAAAAAAAACCAATATAATTTGAAGCAAACTTTTATTTAAATCAACTTTATTAAGACAAATATGCTTTTTATTCTTTCTTTGAATAATCTCTATTATAATTATTATTGAGTTGTTAATTAATGTTGTAACAGACTATCAAAAATAATAAATAAAATTCAGTGAAGTTGATTAGTTGTGGTTAAAGTTGTCCAACTTAAACACTTTATATTGCTCAATACTTATTCACCTTCCAATTCCCTGATATCGTTTCTCTAACTCAAATGTTATGATTTGGAATCAAAGGCAATACATAAGTTGATTCTGATTTATTTTGCTGTTCTTGATGTTAAAATTTTTAACCTGTAAGTTATTATTTTCTTAGTACATACTAAAATTTTAAAATTTGTTTTCGTAGCATCATTTTTTGAAAAAAGTTTATAATTAATTATTTTATGTTCATTGTTTTTNTTTTTTTTTTTTTTTTTTTTTTTTTTTTTTTTTTTTTTTTTTTTAACATAGATATAAACCCATGGATATTAGTTTTGCCATCCAGCCTATCAAACAGGAGTTTGAAGAACTATTTCAATTTTGTATGAATAAGGATCGTAATGATAAATTTATAAAACATATATCAGTGAGTACTAAATGTTGAATTATTTTTTGTAACCTGAATAAATGAAATAATTACTTTAATTTTAATGGGAATGAGATCTGTATAAAAAATAAATAAAAACCATTAGGTAGTTAAGCTTTTGTAAGTTTTTATGGAACTTCAATTTTAATATTTGTTGCATATTTTTTTAAAACTATATTCCTGCTTTAAATTTCCATGCAGAAATTTAAGTACCTTTTTCTAAAAATGTTGTATGTAGTTTTTAAGTATCGTGAATATGAAACTAAGACTATATAAATTTGAGTTTAACATTTAGTTATGTAATAACTTGCATATTCATAACTTTTTTTTTGTTTAGCTATATGTTTATTGTACGGTAGACAGCTGTAATATGGTATCTTAAAAACATTTTCTGTTTCTGGATGTTTTCACAGAAAAAAAAGCTGAGTTTATATATACAGTAGGGAACCGATTATCCGGAACGATCGGGACCATCGCTATTCCCGATGACTGATTTTTCCGGATTTCTGAATCGCTACAAAAAGCCGTTTTTTTTATTGTTAAAGTCAACTAAAAAAATTTTTTTGGAAATAATCTTAAAAAGAAGAAAAAACGATGAAGTAATACACTAATGATTATTTCCAAAATGATGGTNGCTTGGTTTACAAGGTAAACATCTTTCAAAAAAGAAAGAAAAATCCTAAAATCTTATGAGGAAAAAAAAGTTTTTTTTTTAAAAAATGGCAGGAAACTTTATCATATTTCGTTCCGGATTTTTGGTTTTCCGGTTTTCTGATTTCCGGATAACGGGTTCTGTACTGTATATAGATATATGTGTGTTTGTGTGTGTATTTAAGTAACTGCACTTGATCTTTTAAATAATTAGATTCATATTTCTTTTGATGTCATGAAATATCATGTTTGATTTATGTATCTTGTTATAATTTTATGGATATGCGCCACACGAAATTTTACTATATGAATGATTGTGGACTAAACACATCTCTTACATATATCTAAATATGAGTAAATAATTAAACAATAACAAATTATCAAAATAATTATTAAATTTACAATTATTAAAAAGCAATCTTATTTTGCACAAAATAACCATTAAAAACAATCACATCAGCTCTTTTAATTTTAATTTAATATGAATTACCTAAATATTAATAAAAATGATTACAGCTAAAAACATCCAAGATAATTCTAAAAAAAAAAATTTGTTTTGCACGTAATTACACACATCACAGAATCATCACATTTCTAAGTACTAATTTTCAATATCTAAAACTGAAATGAATCAAATGATTAAACAGCTCAAAATCCTTTGAATGAATTTTATTTAGTAACTAAATTATGTTTTGTTTTGCGCAATATTTGTACCATAAAGTAATGATAAACTTATTTTACCTATTATAACTAGTTTATAATATCCAATTTTTGAATAAATCAAGTGATTAAACAATTTAAAATTATTAAAGTGAACTTTAAATATTGATTAAGTATAAACGATATTTCTTTAAATCTGTTAAGATAATAAAAACAGAAAAAAAAGTAGTCTTACCAATCCAGTTCAAGCATTTTCCCTTTCTCTCATATATCCATGTGAAGATCATGTTGCATTATTAGTCCAATATCTTGTGTTCCGAAATTGTATATTTCCGTAAATAAAACTATGTTACTCTTACATTCTTAAAGTCCGTTTTTCATCTGTGTTGTTAATTCTTTTGTACATATTTCTAAAATATAAATATGGATCATCACAAAAGATATAATTTTATCTGCTCAATGGGTTGATATGAAATTTAGGCAAATCTGTTTAATAAAATAAAATTTTCAACTTCAAAAAGAAAGAAAAGGATATTAATAATAATAATAAAGGAAACATATAGCTGCCCATATCAGTATTTAGGATTTAAAATTATAGACGATGCTGTTAAGGCATTTTCATCATCTTAAAGTAAGTAAGAAAATTTTTTTCTTAAATAAATTTTAGTACATTCTTAACATTAAATTTAGTGGTTAATTAATTTTTCTTATTGTAATTAAGCAGATCATTCATTACATTTATGTATTATATTTTTACAAATTTAATTGTTAAACTAGTAAATATTTATAGAAACAAAAATGTTTTTTAGAAAGCTTGCTAAATATTTTTTAGAAATAATTAACAATGAAATTAAAGAGCTCATTTTTATTTAGTTTAAGAAAACCCTTTTTAAAATGATAATGATGATTCTTTTTAATTTAAAACCATCTTATGTTATTTTAAAATTAAAAATTCATATCATAAAATTAAAAATTCATATATTTTCAAGAAAATTTGCAAATCTCTTCTAATGGAGCTATAATTTTTGTGTTCAAAGTGTTTGAACGTCACATTAACTTGACAAAACAAATGACAACAAAATTAAGATTTTTTCACTTTTAATAAGATTTTAAATTTGTTTTTAATTTTAACTCTCATTTTTCTTTTAGACTGCTTAGAATATTGTTTCAATTTTATATGTGCAATGACCCATTGTTAATTTTCTTATAAAGTTATAAGTCTTACAAAGTTATAGTCTCTTATGAAGTTAAAAGCACATTTGACTACATGTTTGACCATTAATTTATTTTTTTATATTTTTCAGTCTCAGTACAACAGAAAATCATACAAGATCTTACTTGATCTCATGTCACATGCAATGGATCAAGTTATAAAGTTCTTGCTTTCAAGTAAAGTATCTAATTTTTTTTTTTTTTTTAAATGGTGACATTTGATAATGTTTTAGTAATAATGCTTTGCATACCATTTCTTTCTGGTTATGCCATATTTTATTATAAAAATTCTTCTGTTACAGGAAAGTGTTAATTATCCGAACAAGTTAGAACTGAAAATGATCTAGTTAATAAAAAGTGAACAATTTTAAAAATTTGTTAAGTTGCTAATTTTTTTTACAAAACTGGTATAAAGTTATTAATAAAAGAACACCTAAAAATTTTTTAAATTAACGTATACCTTACAATACATATTTTCAAAATTCATTGTGGTAGAGAAAATAAATTCTTAATTTTAATTGTCTTCTGCTTAATAGAATACTTTTTTTTTACCGTCATGACAAATAGTCATGACTGGATTAAAAGATTGATAGAAGCAGTCATTGTAACAGATTTAGCATTTCTCAGGGTGCACCACATGGAGGTTTGTTGCCTAATGCGCATTCTTTAAGACTTCTCATTTTCCTGACAAAGGAAACGAAGCTGTGAATCTTAAAGGAATGATTTTATTTTCATTGACTTTTGCATCTTTACAAAGTCTTCATCCAAAAAGATTGTAATAAGTCGATCTCAATCTGTGGTGAGATGAAATATAAATTGCATTTCTTTTCGTCTACAACAACCAAGTAATGCTAGAGAAGGTAAATTTAAATGAAAATTCATATTTCGGGTTAAGATCAAGTTATCTAGAGGAAAAAGATGAAAAATTAGATTAAAGACGTTTTGTATCCATTGACTGACTAGAAAATATGAATTGAAAAGTATTTCTATTCAGATAAAAAAAAAGTGATTAACATCAGTTATCACGATTTAAATATGTAAATAACAGAAAATACTTTTGTATGAAGTCAAATAGTTAAGAATAATGTTATTTTTATGATCTACGCTTTTTAGCATGTCACCTTTTTAGTGCAATTCTTCCTATGATAACTGCTACAGGAAGTCTCGTTTATTGTTACATGCATGTAATATTATTTTAATGTCCATCAGAACGTCTGAATAAAACCTTTCATTTCAATATAATCGCTTAAATTTTGTTTAATTTTTTTATTCCGAGAAAATCCCTTCATGATCTGATGTTAGATATTCTTTCGCTTTTCAAAACTAATATTTTTCGATTGACAGAAAACTATTCGCACCACTATTTTTTTTTGTTTTTTTTTTGTACCTCTTGAATTTTCTTTGAATGAAATAAGAATGACATGACCCCCTATTCTTAACCTAAGAGGTCCTAACAGAAATCAATGCTCAAAAGAATTGTGAAATATTGATTACTTACCATAAACTTGAATTTGAAGTGGATATTGCTCTGTAGAAATTGCTGTTTTCTGCATAATCATAACTTTCCAAAATTTATTTTCAAAGTTTTATTGCATTTATCAATCATAATTTTCTTGTTTGAAAACTGCATTCACTCTTTTTGTAAAATCTTGTAAGAGGTGGTATATTTTAGAATTAAAAGACTTATTGTTAATATTCTTGATTTTAATTTTGCTCTGTTTTCTGGACGATGTAATTTAGCAAAAATGGCTGCTTCTAAAATTAAAAATTAGAAAGGAAGTGGATAGAAGAATAACATCCAAATCACAAAATGCTGGAGTTATTCAAGGTCACTAAAAAAATATCTTTACACTAATTAAAAATCACTGATTAAACACTAATTTGATTTTACACTAATTAAAAAACATTATGTAATTATCGGGTTGTTGGGAAAGTAATTTCGTTTTTCCAACAGAAGATTTAATTGTATTTTTTCGAACCCAACTTCACACTTAAGCCGCATTATCATTGTATGTTTTGAGAGCTGATATATCAAGACTTGTGTGTGAAAAAGTTCAATTAATTCAACTCAGTAGTTTTTGGTTAGTGCACTTTTAAATATGGAAAGCAAATTAGCAGCATTTCCGTCGTATTTTTCTTTTGTAGTATAGAAAAGGTAAAAATGCTGTTCATGTCAGAAAGAAATTAACCAATGTGTATGGAAAAGATGTGTTGACAGTATGCAAGTGCCAGAACTAGTTTGCAAAGTTTCAATCCGGCAATTTTGATGTCGATGATGCACCACGTTTTGGAAGGCTGGTTGAAGCTGATAGAAACGCGATAAAGGCATTAGTTGATGCAAATCGGCGAATGACAACACTCGAGATTGGTGAGAGGTTAAATTTATCGAATTCAACTGTTTATGACCACTTGAAAGGCCTGGGTTTAACCTTGAAGCTCGATATATGGGTTCCCCATGTTCTCACGGAGAGAAATTTGTATATTCGCATTGGCACCTGTGATTCGCTTCTCAAGCGTCGCGAAAATGATCCATTTTTGAAGCGCATCATTACTGGAGGAGAAAAATGGGTTGTTTATAACATTGTTAAACGCAAGAGATCATGGAGGGGGAAAAATGAACCAGCTCAAAGGATTTCAAAAGCCAATATCCATAAAAAAAAGGTGATGCTGTCTGTTTGGTGGGATTTTAAAGGAATATTTTTTTTTTTTTTAGCTTTTACCGTATAGCACAACAGTTAATTCGAAAGTCTACTGTTGTCAGCTTGACAAACTGAATGATGCACTTCAACAGAAAAGGTATAGTGTTCCACCAAGATAATACGAGACCTCATACAAGTTTGGTCACTTGCTAAAAGCTTTTACAACTTGAATGGGATACATTGCCACTCCCACCATATTCTCCAGATCTGTCGCCTTCGAATTATTATTTGTTCTTGTAACTGTTGACCTTAAACCTGTAAAGGTTTTTTGAACTGTAAAACCTTTACTTCAAATGAAGAGGTGAAAAATCACCTGGATCAGTTTTCTGCCAGCAAAGACCAAAATTTTATGAGCGTGGAATCATGCTACTGCCAGAGAGATATGAAAAGGTGTTGGACCAGAATGGCCAATATATAATTTAATAAAATATTTATTCATTATACGAAAAATGTCTTTCATTTTCCCTCAAAAAACGAAATTACTTTCCGAACAACCCAGTATAAAGGTAGATGAGAGTGTTCAAATTTCATGACATCTTTCTCGTAAAGCAAAATTCTAAAATCTAAAAAACACATTAAATGACTGGCTAAAGTTTATCTGCAATATTAAAAGATGTCATTGTACTTTTAACCTTTAATACTTCTACTTATTGGATATTAAAAAATTATAAATTAAACAGTTTCTTAATTCTATTTAAAGTGTAGCTGGTTTTTCCAAAATAAGTCCAATTTTTATGAAATATTGGTAAATATTTGCACTAATATTTTGTAATCACGATGTAGGAACCAAACATGTTTTAGTCAAATTTTGTTTTGACCACATGGGTCATTATATCGACCGTCGTCTCTATAGATGTATACTGTAAAACCTTAATATAATAAAAAATGTAACTAACAATAAACTTTATTAAATGAAATTATATTATATTAGTTTTTAAATAGTCACACATAAAGTATTCAATATTTACAATATAAATATAATTAATTTATATTTTCCAGAAAATACTGCAAAGCACTTAGAGCTGGTTGGACGTTGGAGAAAATTTGGAGAAAAAGTTCAATGCTTAAAAAAGCACAAGTTTGATTCTACTGCTCCAATTGCATTTAAATTTATTGAAGTAAACAATATTATTATATGCATTTGCTTTTAATTTACTATTAATTAGTTTCATAAGAGATGCTGGTTATTATACTTGTATTAATTTTCATATCAAGTGTTTTCATAATATAACAATCATCGTAGTCTGAAATCAGTTCTGGCCTCAATATTTGGCATTTCTAATTTTCAATATGTATTATATAACCGGTGACGTCTTTGGCTGATTGATTAATTAATTTTATGAGACCTAAATCACTTCTTTGAGTACTTCATGTTCTTAATTATAAAATTTGCATCACTTGATAATCAGTTTTAGTTAAATTTATTAACTTAGTTCTCACTTTTTACATTTTTGTTGTACCCAGTAAATACTTATGTGAAGAATATGTTGATAATTATTAACTAGATTCTCAAATTTTTTTTAAATTTAATTATTTGTGAAAAAGATAAAGTTTAAACAATTTTCTCACAGCATTGTAAAGTGGTTGGAAACAATGCACATTCGTTTATAAAGAGCACTTTTGATTTTGAAACATTTCAATTGGATTGATAATGTTGTTTTACTGCAATAGTGTATTAATTAATCAAAATTACTATACCAAACATGAAAAAAAAATTTTAAAAATTAAAAAAAAAAAATTTGAAAGTCTAAAATATTTCTACCTGGTTTTTAATCTTAATTGGAGAAATTGCAACTTAAAATTTTTTCTATAAAAATTGCATGATTAATGTAAATTAAATCATGCAATTTTTATAGAAAGAATGTTAGGCATAATTTTGTCATAGGATGATCATTATTATTCGCAAAAGAATCTTGTAAAAAACAACTCATTCATTATAGTTGTGTTCTAACATAATTTATTTAATGACATGGTGCTATATGCCTGTTAAATATATATTAATTGAAAAATAGTGTAAAAGAAGAAAAAAATTTAAATGGAAGCATGGGAAGGTTCGAATGTTATGGATTATAACCTTGAGTTTTCACATTGTCTGTTATTTAGCATTTCATTTATTTCTTTCACTGAGCAATTTTAGAAGAATATATAAACTTAAAGTTCAATGTAAATTGCAGATATTTTATATGAGCTATAAGCTTCTAATTTTCTTTAATAATTATGTTGTTTGTGTATACAAATTGTGATACGATGCAACCTTAAGAGAACACTATAACATGGAAAAAACTTTTCATGAGAAATTCTATTTTACCTATTTCAGTAATTTTAAATTTTTTTTGTTTGCTTAATTTTCTACTTATCTTTATCAATTCAGTATGATAAAAAAATATTAATTTTACAAATGCCTTTGTATAGCATAACATTTAAAAATAAATTTTATTTTAATATGGATAATATGATTAATATATATTTTTTTAAATATTATTAAGGTTTTTAAAACTAATTTGAAAATGAAATGTATTTTTTTTTTACAAAGCTGAATAAAGTAATTATTAATTTAAAGAATAAAATGATAAACTCCATGTTGACTAGATTTAAAATTATACTTAAAATGTGTATGCATGTACGCAAATTGATATAAATGTGTATGTATACATAAATGTATGATTGCAATTAAAATCAAGATTAAGAGTTCTTTTCCAAAAATAGGTTATCTATTTGTCCTGATTCTGTAAAAACTTTGAAAATGTTTTTGCAATTTGTTAATTTTTATATATGAGGAACATGTATGATATTAACATGATAAGCTTTCATGTTAAAATAATTTTATTACTGCAATTTTTTTAAAAGTGCTTTAAAGGTTCCTATTCTTTGTTTAAAAAATTGGCCATGCAAAGTCAACTTTTGGTGATAATGTTGGTTCTATTGATGCAAAAAATTCTGTTGCTTGGTTTTACTTTTTTTCTTGTAGTTGTTTTGTGTTTACCTTTTACGCTTATTACGCTTGTAGGTTAAGGTCTACATTTGGTTTTAAAATGCTTTTAATATATTTTAAAATGCATATCAAATTAAATGTTTTTTTTTTCTTAAATAATTTTTTTAGGGAGCTTTAGTTAAAGCCATGAAAAATGGAGAGTGGCTTTTACTTGATGAAATTAATTTAGCAGAAGCAGAAACTCTTGAATGTCTTTCTGGAGTATTGGAAAAAGATGACAATACTTTGCTGTTATTAGATAAAGGGTAATGTAATATTTTTTAAAATTTGGTCTCAGAATGTTTACAGTAGCTTTTCTTAAATTTTGCTTTAACGTTCCAATTTTTTTAAAGTGACACTGAACCTATATATCGACATCCTGATTTTCGTCTATTTGCTTGTATGAATCCTGCCACTGATATTGGCAAGAAAGAATTACCTGCTGGTATTCGTAGTAGGTAAGTCTCTTTTAGTCAGTTTCTTAAGTGATATAAAATTATATACATGTATTGGTTAAAGTCTCACAGGAATCTTCCCTACATTTATTTTTCCAATGGTTAAACAGTTATTTTAAAAATTAGTTCTTAGATAAGTGTTTCTATTTTTGCTTGAAATAATTTGGCATGTTGCATAAAGATTATGATTATTTTCAATATTTCTAAGTGAATTAGTTTAATGATGCTGTTTGGCTTGTGTATTCATAGTTGTAGAATCATTCATGGATTGAAAATGTGTCTATCTTTATATTTTGACTATGGTGAAATACTAAAGTCTTGTTCAAATGTTGTTCCCCCCTTTTTNTCCCCCCCCCCCCTCTTTTTTTAAAAATGATACCGAAGATAGAAGTCATTAGTTGATTTACCATTTCTTCTCATATCTTATAAATCTTTAAATGNACAGTTATTTAAAAATTTGTTTTTATATAAGTGTTTATATTTTTGCTTGGAAAAATTTTGCATGTTGCATAAAGAATAAGATTATTTTCAATATTTCTAAGTGAATTAGTTTAATGAGGCTGTTTGGCTTGTGTATTCATAGTTTGTAGAATCATTCATAGATTGAAAAGGTGTCTATCTTTATATTTTGACTATGGTGAAATACTAAAGTCTTGTTCAAATGTTGTTCCCCCCTTTTTTTAAATGATACCAAAGATAGAAGCCATTCGATGATTTACCATTTCTTCTCATATCCTATAAATCTTTAAATGCCAAAGGCTAAAATCTATTATAAATAACCTTGTAATCTTATTTTTTTTAAAAAAAGTTTCATGCAGCAAAAAGTTTTGTATCCCGAATCGGTAGGATAATAGATTTTTCCTTATAAGTCCAGATAATAGATTTTTCCTTATGATAGGCACTCAAAATAAACAAAGGTTATAACAAGTCTCATAAAATGAAAGGAAAGCAAACAGTGTTTCTGGGTTAGTAAAATGTTTTTACGATGATATCTAATCAACCAAAAAAAAGAACTTTGAATGGAGAATTGAATGTTTTCTCAAAATATTGAAAGCGAAAAATTGAAGAAAAAACTATCAACTAGTTATATGTAAATGGAAACATTAATAACTCTCTCCACCATTTTGAAGTAGAATGATTAAGACAAGATGTGAAAATTTCAGTTATCCTTGAAATTAAGTCGATAGAGATGGGGGACAAAAAATTCCTTTTTATCGCTGTTTTAAGAAATGCTTCTTTTCCTAACCACTTGCTATACTTGTTTGGACATCACTTGAGGAGAGGGGATGTAGTTGGCCTTTTTTAAATTGTTCTCCCTCTTTTCCTGTGTTCCAGAAGAGGAGCATACCCTGGATATTCTTGGCAGTTCTCTCCCTTTCCTGGTGATTTATGGGTTTAATACATAAATCACCAGAAGTTAGAAGTAGAGAATATGTGTCAAATGATACTTGGTTCCCTCAAAACCGCAAATACACAAAAAATGAAGTTTTTTTTTCTTAAAAAGAAAAGAGGAAGATAAAGATATGTTTATTTTGATGCTAAAATATATCCATGGAAGAGATATCCGAAGTATGGGTTTTTATACTTTATAAAAACATACAATAGCCTGACCAAATAGTTCAGCAATCAAACCAGTTCATAATACTGAGCATATCTGACTCTACTTAAAAAGATTTTGTGGTGTAATGTTTAATGATATTACTGTAATGCTTTATGGTATTTTTTATAATGTTTTACGATATTGCATATAGCTGAAAAAAAGTATTATTTAAGTATTGTTGGCTAAGCTTAAGAATTTGTTTTCGCTTGGGTTTATTGATACCTTACAATACCTGGTATTGCAAATATGAAAAGACAGACTTGAAAGAATTTTTGAAAGTAAATAGAATACTCATTTTTTTGTATTTCTGATTACCTGAGAAGTAAATAAAATATGCTGATATTAATAATGACTTAAGTAGTTAAGTAATAAGTTTTTTTTTGTTTAAATATTTGAGTTGTGTTTTAGCTTAAATATCGAAAAATGGTGAGTTTCATTTTTATGAATGCTTTTTAGTATTGTCTTTCAGTTAGCATACTTTGACAATAAGTGGATTAAAAGTTGACAATTTTATTTATTATTTGTTAAGATGTTAACAGATATAAAGTATTTAAACTCTATCAAATATCACAAATTCAATCTAGAAAATGTTATCATTTGGTATAAGAATGGTACTGGAAATTATCATTATTTTCAATCAACATCATTTTCATTATTAGATTTCATTATTATCAGTCTGTAATGAAACTATTCTAATTATAGATTTACTGAATACTTTGTTGATGAATTATCGGAAAAGAATGATCTCACAATATTAGTTGAAGAGTATTTAAAAGGTTTGTCTTTGAAAGTGGATACTATTGAAAATATAGTTAAATTTTATTTGGATATTAAGAAAATGGCTACCGAGAAATTAAATGATGGAACTGGACATCATCCACATTACAGGTAATAATATTTGTTAGTTAGGGAATAGTAAATAGATTTCTTTTTAATTGTACTGGTAGTATTTATTTTAATTAATGTATTTAAATTAATAGCAATTATATAGCATTTTTTTAAAAAGTGTGCTTTAATTTTAACACAATCACACTCTTTTAATTAACATTTCGTTTAGATACTAGTGAATGAAATATTGCTACATAGTTTTAGATATCAGTGAATGAAATATTGCTACATAGTAGGGTTCTGTCCTGACCAAATTTATTACCATTTAATGGAACCTTCACAAATTCAACTTTAAGAAAAAGGGTAGTTTCACAAAATACTGTTTCTTAAAATTTTATTTTTCAATCTCGTACAGAAGGATAAGTCCATGTTTTTACCATATTTTTGTGTTGTTTGTTTAATATAATTTTCACAAATTTTGTTTAAATTTTCACAAAATAGGTACCTCTCAGAAAAACATAGACTGACCCCTGATAGTTTTAAATATCAGTGAATGAAAAATTGCTCAATAGTTTTAGATGTCAGTGAATGAAATATTGCTACATAGTTTTAGGTATCAGTGAATTTAATATTGCTACATAATAAAGGCGTTGATGCCAAATGAAAGAAATACAAAAATTCTGTGTTTGGTAATTGAAGAAAGTGCTTTATTACAGTGCCATAATGGTGCTTTGTTTGTTTATTTGGCGTCATTTGTGCTTTTGATGCAACAGATTTATAGATTTTAAAAATAGTGAAGGCAATAAAAATCTGACATATGAGATTCTCCAATTGTATTTATAGATAATTCAGCAATAACCCGTTGACAAAATAACTTTCCTCAAGTCAGAGGAACAAATAATGAGAGGCAGACCACATACTAGGTAATTACTTGGTGTGGTAAGGTGGCTGAATAGTGTGGGAGTTTATGGAAAATAATGGTGTTGGATAGACAGAGGATGAAACAAATTACTTGAGTATACCATGGTTGGTAATAGGCTGTAATGCTGGTAGAAGATTCATACTTTTCCCTCATTGTTATGTTAATATAAGGTGAAATGAGCACAAATATACATGTCTTGTCTTATTCTTAAACAGTACAACATCATTATTTTGTTTGATTTAATCTTGCATTTATTTTATTGCTAAGATAAATAAGTTGCAACCTATACTAAATTGTGCAAATTTGTTCAAGTTCTGTTACGATAAAGGATTAAGCAAGATATTCTTTTTTTTTTTTCTTCCTACTTACTACTGTATTAAATATAAGTTGTAAAAGACAAAAACCAATGTAAAAAATCACAAATATACTAAAATAGATAAATTAGTATGCTAGTTTAGATGCTGTTCTGGAGCATTATCTTCAATACATACGTACAATATAGAAAAATGGTGAAAAAATCGTATGGAAAAGTATCTCATTGCAATTTTTCCATATTTTCTTGCATACTTAAAATGATGCTTCAATACAACATTGAAAGTTCTATGCTATTTTAAATCGAATAATATATGTGACTTTTAATATCAGTATAAAGTTTAATAATGCCTGCAGACTTTTGATAATTCTGATAACTAAAGATAAATCAAATGTTTTTTAGCTTGAAACAGAAAGTTAAGTTGGAATATTTTAATCAACAAGTCTTAAAAAAATCACATCGCTCTCTGTTTGTAATATACATATAAAGCAAAGTTCTGTAATAACATATAATAAACTTGAGATATTTCATTACTGTATGGTTTCCTTCTGGCTTTGTTTTTAGTAAATAATTTTTTTTCCCTGCAGTCTTCGAACTCTTTGCAGAGCATTAAGTTATGCAGCTAGCAATCCTTGCCACAATGTTCCTCGTTCTCTTTATGAGGTACGTCAAAGTTTGAAATTTTTTCTTAGTAAACATGACTATATTTTGTTATATATCCAATTTACATTTTTATTTTTCTTAGGCTTTTTGCTTGAGTTTTTTATCACAATTGGATAACCCTTCACATAAGATAGTGACTGACATCATTAAAGAGAAGATTCTTGGTCAAAAACAACTATCGATTTTGCACCAAAGTATACCAGAGCCTAAAGGAGGAAATCATGTCAATGTGTCTGGGTATTGGATAAGGGCAGGGAAACAAGAAATTGAAAAGCCCGAGGATTATATTTTTACAGACACTGTGAAGAGAAATTTACACGACTTAGCCCGAATTGTTTCTGCCGGGTAAGATGAACAATAATGTTTACATTCTTATTAATTTATTATATGTTCTCCTAAATCAACTAAATATTTTTTTGAGAATTAAGCTTCCATGTTGGAATATGTTGTTGCTGAGATAGTCTGCATTTGTATTAGTAGTAATTAATTTTTGTAACGTTGTTATCGAAATTATGCTATTGAAATTAATAAAAAAATTTTGTGACTATTCATTAAGTCATGCTTTTTTTTTAAATTTTTTTTTTTTACGAAACTTTATTGGTCTTAAAAATGTTTTAGCGCAAAATGTAGTAAGAAGTAAGTTACAAAAATTGATTTTAATTAATTTTGTCTCTTGTTCCTTCAAATATCTATGTAGGACGTATCCAGTTTTATTGCAAGGAGAAACATCATCTGGAAAAACAAGTTTAATACAATATCTAGCAAAAATTACTGGTAATCACTGTGTCCGAGTAAACAATCATGAACACACGGATATTCAAGAATATGTTGGAACCTATGCTGCTGATGTAACTGGGAAACTTGTTTTTAAAGAAGGTTCGTTTTTATATTGTTCATTTGAATTTTTTTTCTTCAGAAAAGTTCAAAATTTTTATAATAAAAATAGTTCAATATTTAATATAGTTCAAAAAATAAAATAGTTCAATATTTTTATATTATATTTTTAAAAAAGATAATTTTTAAAAGAATTCAACTTCATTTTTGCTGAAAATTTTCTTGTTTGTAATATTTTAAATTTTCAATAGATCTTAACCTTCTTATGTGTTTTCTTTGTGAGATAAGTACTTATGGTTTTAGTATTTTCCTATCCAACTGTTTTAATTAATTTTTCATACATATTCAAGTCCTTTTTTCAAGTTCCTTTTTATTTCCAGGTATATTGGTTGAAGCAATGAGAAAAGGTAGTTGGATTATTTTAGATGAACTTAATCTCGCACCAACTGAAGTTATGGAAGCTCTTAATAGAGTAAGTGTTGCTGAATTGGTGTAAATATTTTGAACCAAATAGTTATGATATGTTATTATTGAAAGTAATGATGTAATATTTTTTCCTTCTTTCTTAAAAAGATCAAAGTCAAATTTTTAATTCAAGTTAGAATAATAAGATGGAAATAAAACAAATATAATATTAAGATAAAAATATAAAATTAAAATAATATTTAATTATTAATTATAAAATAAATATAATGGAAAATTATGTTAATAACATTAAAAAAAACATAATTAAAAATTATTTTAATTATAACATTAAATATGAAAAGCATAATTTAAAATTTTTCACTTTTTAGATTTTCTTATTGAAATGTCTCACTTTTTATCATGGGTTTTGAATTTTTGTGTAAACATAGGTAAAATGGGTATAACCAAATTCCAGTTTTTTTTATACCTACGCTCTTCACTCTTATGTTTTTTTTATTTAACGTAAATTATACATGTGTGAAACGTTCTTCAAATAAATTGTTCTTAATCAATGTTCTGTTAATTTTTTTATGTTTTATTTTACATTAATATATGAAAGTTGATTAATCTTTCTTTCAATGACTTTTTAACTTTGTTGTGAATGGTTTATAGCTGTTTCATATGTTTGTTTACATACCTTTAAATTTTATATTGATATTCTACTGACTGTATTTGTTGTAAAGTGTGCTTGGCTCTTCCTGGTGGAGAGAAACTTGAAATGAAGATAATACCCATTTATTTATTTAAAGCGTACTATTTAATTATATATTTTCAGGTGTTGGATGATAACCGTGAACTGTTCATAGCTGAAACGCAAACTCTGGTCAAAGCACATCGAGGTTTTATGATTTTTGCTACTCAAAATCCAGCAGGCATTTATGGTGGGAGAAAAGTGAGTAAAAAAATTATTTTTTTAGCTTAATTTATATCAGGTATATGAGTTTTTATTCTTACAAAATTGTTTTTCATTTCTTTCTTGGCTGTATCACTTACAACTAGTAAATGAAGTCAGGGGTCTGTTTAGAAGAAATTTGGGTCTGTTAACGGACCTTTCACAAAATATCTTTCCATAAAAGCGGACCGTTCACGAAATAATTTATCTTTTAATCAGACCCATCACAAATTTGTTTATCTTCATTATTGTTTTGTTAATCGAATAAACTGAATCGAATTGTGAAGAACTGTAGTTTGAGCCCCAGTGGTGGTTTAAATCCCACCCAGCTTCAGATGTACGCAATTCAGATCTACGAAGGTAGCCTATACGCAATGTTGACCACATTGCCACAATTATACTGTCACAAAATTGTGGTAACTCAACTTCTATGACCTCCTCCGCCTACTGTAGGTTGTTGCGAGAATTATTATTTATTTCATTGTTATAGTTTTCATCCTGTAAATATTTTTTTATTTTTGCAATGCTGAATAGTAAAGTTTTGTTGACTACATATAAAGTTTAGTAATATTAAAATGTGGGTAAAAATTAAATTTACACCAGTTTATGTTTATTTAATATATATTTCAAGCTGATTGATTTGTAAATTTATTAATTTCTTAAATAAAATGTTGTAAATTTATTTGAAAAAAAAAACATTACCTTCTGTTTTTAAAATTTTTTTTTAAGAGGAAAATATTGTGTTAAGTTACGATGTTGTGTTTGTTCTCTTCTAGATACTGTCAAGGGCATTTAGAAATCGTTTCATTGAACTTCATTTCAATGAAATCCCACCTCCTGAGCTGGAAACAATCTTGGAGCAAAAGTGTCAATTGCCACCATCGTATAGTAAACAATTAGTTGCAGTTATGCAAGAATTACAAGTACGTCCAATAATTTTTTATATTTTTAATATTTATTCTGAAATCATTTATGATTAACAAGCTTTGTTGGAGGCCATATTAAGGGATTTTTTTTTGTGAATTTTTAAAATTTAGTTTTTGAATGTAGAGAAATATCTGGCAACTGTTTACAAAAAAAACTGCTTTAATCTGCTGTTCCCATCAAAAATTGCTTTATTTTGCATTTACTTTTGTGAAAAGTTTTTTTCAAAATTTATAAATGTTATCAGCTCTATAAAATTTCTTTTAAAAATTCCATGCTTTAAAAAATAGAAAAATAACTATTTAAAATGCAATAAACCATTGTAAATACCATGATTGTTTAATTTTTTTCATGGAGATTCTTCATTGACCTCTTTTTTCTCTCTAAGAGCACAACTTGGGATGAATAGTAGATAAAAAAATCTTACTGTTAAATCTAAATCCAATATTCAAGTTAGCTGTATGTTCTTAAAATAAATGATTTGAATTTTACAAAATATCATTTCACATATTCTTTTACTAAGGTTTATAATTTTTAGTTTGTTTATGTTGTGATGTTTCATTATATGTCGTAATAATAATAAGTAAACAGTTTCTATTGTGAAACTGTTTCTAGTATTCCTTTTGTGTTAATAAATTTCCTAAAAATTTTCCCGCTTCTTGTTAAGTATTGGTTATATGACCCAGATGGCACTGCTCGTATTTTCTTCTTTTATCAGGTACAGTCAGTGTGTAATAAGTTGAAGGTCATTAAACCAAAGCTATAATATTTGGAAAAATTGAGATAGGTCTAAAATGTAATTTGTGGTGTAACAGAAAGAATTCTCACATTTTCCACCTACTAAGTGGTATTAGTTGTACAAGCAATGATGAACGAACAGCCTTGAGTTTATTCATTCTGTTTCTGAAAGCATCAACTCTGCATTTCAACCTTTGAAAACGGACTTTGAGTTTTTCTTATTTTATTGTGAATTTTTTCAACCACCTACGTTGCCTGCTGTCAAAATCCCCCTGCTATTGCTTTTGGATGTCTCCATTATGAATTATTTTCTGAAACAGAATGAGTGGAGGACTGTTGCTCAGTTATACATTTAAATTTTATTTCATAACCAGCGATGAACACCCGAATCAATTTTAAGTTTACAACTACCAATGCTCAGTTCCATAGCTTTGTAATTTTGAAATTAATCTAATAACAAAGAAAATTCCTGGATCAAGTGTTAAAAGATATTTGCCTTTGTGGAGAGTTTTTTTGCATTGTATGGAGAAGAAAACCACGAAAACCTTTTATGGTTAGCCTTAGCAAAAGGGACTTTAACGCTTGATGAGTGTGCCCTCAGAGGATATTTAATGTCAGTACTGGTTCGTGCAAGCCCGTTGCAGAACTTGTATCGACCGGATTTCGCTGGGATTCAAACTTAGGTCATCTCCTAGGCAGGCAAGTGCTCTAACCATTAAACCGCCATAGATCTCAGCTATCCATTCATCACTGCTAGCATGACAACTACTGCCACCTACTGAGTGGAAAGAGTATGAAGCTTGTTTATTACACCATCAACAGCATTTCAGGCCTGTCACCATTTTCCTAAAAACAATGGTTTTAGTTTAATGGTCTCTGACATGTTATTTATTGACATACTTAATATATTATATGTTTCCTTTTCCTTTCTTTCCAAACATAGTTTACATGCATCTTTTATTAAGTACCTAATGGATTTGTTGGGCACAATATAATTGTTACCAAATGTCTACTATTTAACTTTTGTTTCATTATGTAGATTTGCTATGTCACAGAAGTTGGCGAATGCATTCTGTGATAATGAAAGAAATCTTATTATTAGGTTTAAGGTGTTTTGCATTGTCTGATTTATATCTTATAGTTGAGAAGAAGAGAAAGTGGCGTGTTTGCTGGCAAACAGGGATTTATCACTTTGAGAGACCTTTTCCGTTGGGGTGAACGCTATGTGCACGCTCCTGATCCTCCAACAAAATATTATGACTGGAACCAACACTTATCTGATGAAGGTAATTACAATATAAGTTTTTATTTTTATAAGTATTCTAATCTAATGTTAAATATTTTAAATGTACAGAGAGGGAATTTAAGAATATGATCCTGAATATCTTTTGCTCTAATGGTAAGATTTTCATTAAATGCCAATTTTATAACTCATAGGGATGACCACAAATATGCTAATATATAGTGCTAACTAATAATTGAGTTACATAATCAATTGCAGAAACTTACCTTCTTTAAATAAACACACCTACAGGTACAGATTTCACAGATTTGGATTTTTGGCCATCAAAATAAGGGTGGGGGTTAGTGACAATCTGTAAAGATGCACAATCTGTGTAGCTCTATCTCTATGTAAAGTTTATTTCGAAAATCAGAAAGTTTGTGCATCTTAATGATAATTTCAATTTTTACATGTTTTTCCATATTTTGAGAACAGAAGCAAAGCAAATTTTTGCGCAAATTTTAGTAATTTTTTATTTCATTAAATGGGAGTAAAAAACAATATGAAAGGTAGGGTATTTAATTTTTTGAACCATCTTAAACTGTCTAATTTGGAATGACAACAAGCCACAAAATATTGCCGAAATTTGTTGAAAAGTTTCTGAGTTTTAAAATTTAAAGAAAAGGAAAAGAATTTAGCATTAATAAATTTCATTTCTTAAAAACTATTTTACTGATTTTGCTCAAATTTTGTATTATATTATTTCAAATTGCACAGTTGTAAATGAAATAAAAATTTTTAGCTCTCAATTTTAAACTTTTAAAATAGGAAATTTTGACTCTTCAAAACAGAATAAATATCATTCCAAAGCAACAATGGAGTCACTGTAGAATTTGCAAATGGAAAAAACTATTGGAAAACAACATGGGTTTACGATGGAATCACCATGTACATCAAAAGCTTATTACTTCCTTACAAAATTCATGTGTCATACATCATATTTAATATCTGAATTAAAAAAAAGCACTTGGAAATAGATTAAAAAGAATGCTTGAAAAAAATATGGATTTAAAATTGAATCAGCATGTCAAAGAGAAGAAGTGAGAGAGAATTAAAATAGAAAATTTCCTTGTCAATCATGTTGAATTGAGTGTGTTAAAATGTAACAGCTCTAAACCAAATTTTGGGTGTTGTAATGACATCGTATTAAAAATATGAGAATTTGAAAAACCATATTGATTTACGAGAGAATCAGTGCAAATAAACTTTTTTCTTTTTACATATCAGACCTTATGTCAGGACACATCAAATGACAAGCTTTCTGGAAAATTTTTATCGAAAGAATAAGTGCAGCAGCATGCTTAGAATAAATCCTGCATTGCAAAGTATTTTCCCAATTTTCTCTAGATATTTTCTGCAAATTTTATTTGAGGCAGATACGTTTAATTATTCTGTTTTGGGAAATTAATGTTTTAACATTAGATTCTCGATTTTATTAGCTTCATTGAATGTTTTTTTTTTGCCTGCGACTGTGTATAAATTATTTATAAGTTTACTAAAAATGGCAACCATAGCAACTATTTTTGAATGCTAACTTCAGTGGAGGCCCTCTGATACCCTGTGGCAGAATTTTTTCTAGCTATCTGCGACAAAACTCTCTAATACTAATATCATTCTGCAAGATACTTTTAATAATAACAAACATATATGATACTAATTTAAAATGACAAAGAAGCTGTGTTTACAAAAAAAACTATGTAATGTTTTTTTTAATTGAACATGTAAATTTTTTTTATTCTAATGTTATGGGTGATATTTTTGCATTTTGTTTGGACGGACCGCACAAATTATTTCCTTCTTTGCATTTTGTAAATAATCATCACAATAAAAAAAATAATTAAAAATCTTGAAATTCGTAATTGCGGAAAAAGAGATCAATGAAGAAATCACGTGAATTGGATTCTTCTGATGCGTGTTTCGTTTTGAGATTAGGTTGTTGTAATAAATAATATCGTATAAAAAATATTAGATGCAAAAATTATGGAGAAATCTATAGCAATAACTGCCAAAGATTCGATAGAATTATTGCCTTTAAAAGTAAATACTCAAATGCACGATTCGAATTTTTCTTATTGTTTGAAATATATCGGAATTTTTAAAAAAACATGTGAAAATCAATATCAATGACTGCCAGAAATACAGATTTAAATATTACCTGTAAATTTCTGTTGAAAAGAAAAGTAAAATTTTTTGCTTTTTAATAGAAAAATCTTTCTACAAGAACTTTGTAACTTTCTGCGACAATGTCGATGTGATTCTGCCACGGGGCTCTAATAGTTAGAAATTTTTTTTGTTGAAAACGTGAAAAAAAAGGTTTGAAATTTTAAAAAATTCTTCATGCGCTGTCTGATGTTGGTAGCTTTATTAGAATATTTGAAAACATGATTGAAAAGTAAAATATTAATGTAATTTTTGGGATTTTAGGTTATCTGCTTTTGGCTGGTCGAGTTCGTTTCAGAGAAGAAGTGGATGTCATCAAGACAGTAATAGAAAAACATTTTAAGCGAGAAATTGTTCCAGATAATCTTTTCAATTTAACAGAAGACACCTCCTTTGTTACAAAAAGTCTCTTGGAGAGATTTCTGTCTGAAAAACTGCCTCCACCATTCGATCACATTGTTTGGACTTATGGCATGCGTAGACTTGGAGTATTGGTGGGAAAGGCAATGCAGTTTGAAGAACCAGTTCTACTTGTTGGCAATACTGGGTAAATGTTTTATGCAAATAGATGATTGATGTTCTTTTTTTTGTTAATTATCTGCAGCTAAGAGACTTGTTCTGATGTATTTTTAATTAGCAGTATGGATGGTTAACTGAGTGTAAAAAATAGCAAGCCTTTTACAATTGAAGAAATTTCTAAAAAAATTCCTGCATAAATCAAATAAATCTTTAGCGTGTTGTCACCTGTTTTACCTATTTACTGAAGAATTGTTTCGTTATGAGATTTTTTTTTTACTATACATCATTCTAAATTTTGAGAAAGTCAGAAAAGCAATAGGCTGTGAAGGTATAAACTTGCAAAAAATTAATACAGCCATTGAAAATTGGTATGATGTAAGTTATGGTGTTAAAAATAAATAATTATCTAAAATTCACACTATTTTTCTGCCATTGTGGCCACATATTTTAATTGGGATGATATTAAAATATTGAATCTGCAAAAGCATTTTTTAAATTACTTTCTTAAAACATTTTCTAAAATATCTGAATGCTATATTAAAAATGTTACATATTTGTATAATATTCAATTTATACATCATAAAAATAAGATAGTTGCAACAAGCAATTTTCAAAAAAAGTAAAAATGAAGTATTTTATATTGCAAGGCAGTTAATTATATGTATTAAGTTTAAAGAGGCTGCTTTTTTTAGCAATGACAATCATTTTACTTAATTAATTTTAACTCTTGGGTATGTAGAATTTATTATTGTAACACATCTACTATAATTTTGTATTATAATCCACTATAATTTTATATCATTTTGTAATGCTTAACTTATGGTTTATACCTCATTTTTTTGCATCTCATTCATGTAAAGCTTCAAATCTGTTGACAATTATAATGATACCATACCCCTCTGGATATTTTAATGCGATAGAGCGAAGCATCATTTAAGAAAAAATTAAGTAAATTAGAATATTTTTTTCCGTCTAGGTAAGGAAAAGACTAAAATCACTTGCTAATTGAACATGCATCACACTTGGTTGTTATAATAATTTTTTTATTTTGCTTTGTTTTGTTTTTCTTTAGTACCATTTCTGCTTTTTTTTATGTTACTTTTTAGGTCATCATTTGTCCTATTGTGCTTTCATTTAAGCTTTTGTATTAAAGCTTTTGCTTTAAAAATTTCTTTTGCAACCCCCACCCACTCCAGTTCAGAGAGTACTTTTATGTATACCATAGTTCAGTCCACCCCAACATTTTTATTGCCTCGGACCTCTCTCAATATTTGATAATTTCTTCGCAGTCAAGGAGAGGTGGGACGTTGATTATTTATATTTTAAAAAGTTTTTATTTAATAATTTTAATTTAATTGTATTTAAATATGGCTTCATAATAAAATACTATTACATGTGTGGTATTGGTGTGGCTTAAGGTGACATCTCTCAGCTCCCAGCTAACCAGGGTTTGTGATTTTTTTGATTTTTTAAAAAAAAATAAAATAAGTCAGATTTTTTTGATTTTTATTCAAATACACTGTAAGAACTTTGATTTATAATTAAAAAAAACTTTATAAATGTTTAATCAAAATTAAATTAATATTAAAACAATATTATAACAATATTTTAGAAGATCTAACTACCTAAAACAATTTTTCATTATAATACATAGCTTTGAATGCTTAGTAACCATTTTGAAATAAATGCATGATTAAAATTTAAAAACTAGATGAAATAGAGAATTTAATGAGTACTTTAAACTATTAAAACAGAGTTTCAATTAGCAAACCATAATTTTAATTTAAAATTGGGATTTCTTTTTTTTTTTCTCTTGATTTTTAAAAAGACAATATAGATGTAACAGATTGTGTTTATAAATGTAGCCATTCATCAAAAAATAAATAAATATTTAATCTAAAAATATTTTTAAGAAATCTATGTACCTGTTGAGATTTTTTTCACAAAATTTCTTTATAAAAAATCTGTAATGAAATAGAAAGTCTGACAAGGATACTGTAAACCTGCATTCTGTTACCAGTTAATATCCCTACTACTTTAAATAGTCTTTGAAAGAATTTGAAGAGGAAGAATGACACTATGCCAGGAAAAAATATTTGAATTTATCAGCATTTTTTTTCTTCTATTTTTGGCATATTAGGGTAATTTCTTTTTAATATAACCTCAAGCTTTAGAAATATACATTTTCTACCAATAAAATATCATGTAGAAAAAATTCATGTTTATTAATTATTTTCTGCAGCTATGCAAGTCTATATTAAGATAGCATTAAATGTTTACTTAATCTTTTTTTTTCAATTTCAAGTATCAAAAGATTTTTAAAAATGTAATTTCAAATGTGCTGGAATTTATCACACATCAAGAAAGAAAGTAATTTTGTTAACTAAAATTAATTAATACAGCACTTCATTTAAAACAAATTTTAAAACTAAGAAAAGAAAATAATAAAAGTATCAATAATTTAAAACACTGTTTTTTTTAACTTTTCAAATCAATACCATAAAAAAAATCAGTTGATTTAAATCAACAAACCCTGCGGCTAACCTCTCATCCATGGAAAGTCATGCTAACCGGAGAGGAACACACTACAATTAATAAAATAGAAATAAAAGGGGAGCCCAGTACCATTTGTTCCACAGACTGGTACCGGCCCCTCAGCCTGAGGTTTGGAGACCCTTGCTATAGTTTACTTTCAGTGTTTAATGGTTAACTATATATCCGACAACTACTAGCTTCTATGGCTGTTAAGGAATATTTTTCTTTGTGCTAGCAACATTTAGGTTATTATAAATAGATACTGATTTTTAAAGTTGAAAAAGAATTAAAGGATTTTGTTTTATTCTCAATAACAAATGAATAATTTAAACTTAAGTATAAGAGGTCAAAAGTCTCTTAGCTTAGCTGTTATGCTTTAAATGTTGGAGAATTAATTTGTAACACATTAATTCTCCAACTTAGGCTTAATTTTTAACAAATTTATCCTACTATAATTATTGTTTTATTAAAATCTCAATGATCATACAAGTTGGCAATTTTGAATTATAGACTTTTTATTTGCATACATTACAATAAAATAATATGAAAATTTTCTTTTTGTTGTTGATATGTTCTAATAATGTAGCAATAATCTCTTATTAGGTGTGGTAAAACTACAATATGTCAGATTTATGCATTACTGATCCAACAAGAAATTAATATAGTAAACTGCCATATGCATTCTGAAAGTGCAGATTTTATTGGTGGACTTCGACCTGTACGAAATTCAAACAAAGAGGTAAAGCTTTCATTGTTTCTTTCTTAATAATACTTAAATAGTTACTACAAAAACAAATATTTCTGTGACTTTTAACGTTTTTTGACTTCTTAAAGTTTTTTTCCTTCCGTTTTTGGTACATTTTTTTTATTTATTTTATCCCTTAACAAATGGCTTTTGTTAGCATTGTAAGCAAAAATAGAGTATAATTATTAAAAAAAAAATTTTTTTTCAGCAAAGAGATTAATGTATGATGTAGAATTAATGTATGAAAAATTGATATTTTTGTTAGTGTTATATTTGTAAGGCTCCTTCCTTTTATTTTTTAATTTTTTTAAAATTTTATTTCTTTTTGCTTAGCATTTCTTTAATTTGTAAATTATAAGGAATTAAGGGGAAAAGTAATCAAGTAAATAAAAAATAAATTTTTTTGAAATTATATTTAATTTTTGGTTTAAAACGGGGACATGCTATTTTATTTAACATCTTGGAGCACCACACATATTTCAAGAAAATCCCTGTTGTGGTAAAGTAATGCAAAGCACATAGCTAATGGAGTGAAATAAATAAAAGTTTGTTTTGTAATAAATAATATATAAAATGAATTTTAAGTTATTACTTAAAATATTGCAAATATATTAGTTTTACACCATATTTTACACTATCAGTCACAGATGAATGACACAGCCTAAACGAAAAGTTCAGGGTTAGTTTCAGGTAAGTGATATGGCACTCAACATATTACTTATCCTCTTGTTTCATACCTGTAAAAAAGTATATTAATGGAAAGAATACACAAGTAAAATTTCTAGTGCAACTGTTTTCATTATTTCTTACAATTGAATGGCATTTATTAAGAAGTTTCTTGTTATTTATGATTTCTATTTTTTTTTCTTCTCCCAGGATTCTAAGCTGTTTGAATGGGTTGATGGGCCATTGATAAAAGCAATGAAAAACGGCCATTTTTTTCTTGCTGATGAAATTTCATTGGCTGATGATTCAGTGTTAGAAAGACTTAACAGCGTACTTGAATCAGAACAGAAAATACTTTTGTCCGAGAAAAGTTATGAAGATTGCAAGGAGTCAGAAATTAAGGCTGTTTTTGGATTTCAGTTTTTTGCCACTATGAATCCTGGAGGTGATTATGGCAAAAAGGAGGTTTGTATACATTGATTATTTGATTATGACTTACATACTTGCCAACTTTTGTGCTCTTCAAAAAAGTATTATCTTATTTGTAAGGAAATATTTACAAAAATGATATTGCAAATATATACTTAATTTACTTTTCACCATCGCTTGAAACACAATATGATAACTAGCATATTTTCTTTGTATATGTTTAAATTTTTTAAACTTAATGGTAGTTAAAATTATATTCAATTAAATTTGTTAAAATAGGAATCAAGAATGACTGAAAAAACTTTGCTACTGCATTAAATATAAAAATAAAATCTTCCAGAAAATTAGTAAGAGTTGGCAGTTGTTTATACGCTAGTTCTCTAAACATTCACAACACAAAAAAGATGACTGGAACTTTAAATTATCATCACTTTTATTTTTCGGAGATTGTTTCACTCCTTACACATAACACTCACATAGGCACACTGCCTCTCGTTCCACACTAATTAATTTCTCTCTAGGGGGCGCTACAACACAATACTCTCTCTAACACTGAACAGCAGTTACATAATTTCTATAATATTTATGACTGTATTATTATAGGACAATTTTATTTCTGCCTATTACACATATAATGGGAAATTAATTTATGGGGTTGAAGTTTCCATTAAGACTTATATATGTGTGTTATATCTCCTTTTTTTCCTCATAATTATTTAAAACTCAAGTTGTAGACATTCCTGATCACTCATTTAGCATTTCACTGTTTTCTTTATTATTCACTACATTTCAAACTTACTGTTCAACAATTTAAAAGCTGGAAAACATATACGTTCACTTATTAATATATCTTATAATGTAATTATTGGTTGCTTAATATTTAATGTTTAATCTGCTTGCATTTTTGTAACAATAATGTTTAACAACTATTTTTCTTCCAATAAACAATGTTTAACAACTTCAATAAACAATGTTTAACAACTTCAATAAACAATGTTTAACAACTATATTTCTTCCTTTGTTATACTTGAAAAGTAATTCATAGATTGAATTATTACATAAAGACTTAGCTTATAACACCAAATTTATTACACTTTAGAGTGTGTTATAAAAAAAAAATTTACTTTTTCAAGTCAATTAAAGAATATAAATTTTTTTATTGGCATTTCATTAATCGTATTCCTGATTATTGAAATACTGTTGTTTGCATCAACTTTATTTAAAAGTTATCTTAACTGCAATATTGTAATAGCTTTAATGTTGTTCATCACAATAAGTCTGCCTTTACTAATTTTGTGTATTTTTTTATAGCTGTCACCAGCACTTAGAAATCGTTTTACAGAAATATGGTGTCCAAATAGTGCTCAAGTTGATTCAGATGTTATCGCTATTATAAACCATTCATTGAAGAATTCTTATAAGTACAATCCTAAGCGCTTTAATATAGCAAAGGCTATAGTTGATTTCATAAATTTTTACCGTCAGACTGATATAGGTAGAAGGTAAGTTTTTAATTTATGCTATAACATGGTGCATAGCATTTTAAAAAAATGCTTAAAGGTGCTTATTTTCTATTTCGTTTTTTAAAAGCTCTTAAAGGTGCTTCTTTTATTGGGAGTTTTTAAAAAGTGCTTAATTTTCCCTTTACGAAAATGAGATTTTTTCTTTAGTGTGTAAATTTTAGCCATGTATTATGCAATAGCGTGGTTTTCACATTGTTCTATTCAACGTTTTCTCAATTCATTCAAACAATACATTTCGGCCTTCCGTCGGTACAAGCGTATGAACCTTGAATTTTGCATGTTTGATGAAATACTAACTGGTCCGCATGTGTGTATACTGAACTGGGTTTGGTGAGATTCTTGCTCTCTCATGTGCAACAATACTGCATTTTGCAAGATATTCTCAATTTCAGGCTTCATTTTCCACCCTCTGAAATCAAACCGAAAAATCTCTCGATCTTTTAATCAAGAAAAGAGTTCTTTATGTCAGAAACTAATTATTTATGATCATGTAAAGTCTTAAAAAATTATTTTGCATTTTGTTATGTATATAGTGCTTAAAAATATTTTTAGTGCTTAAAAAGTACTTAAAAGGTGCTTATTTTTTATTGCCTATGCATATAATATTTTTTTTTATTAACAAGAACCTGAAATTTAGGCACAAAGTAAAATGGCTTATTTTTTTTAAAAATGATTTTTATTTATTTATTTATTCTCAAAGTAGACTTACTGCAATTGTAAATTACACATCTGGTATAAAAGTTCCAAAATAATTAGAAGTTGTTAAAGAAATGATGGAAATATCCAGATTGCTGCATTCTACTGAGGAAACTTGGACTTTTTTTTTTTACTAAGTTTCATCATTTGTACATAGAGTGCATACAGATTGTGCTGTTGACTGGAAAAACTATAAACAATGTTTTCTGTTTTATGTTAGACCATTCCTACTGAAATAAATGCCCATGCGTTTGTTAATTTAATCACTATGTTGTCACTACAAATGGGTTTTATTTTGAAAGCATAGTTTTTTTGGTTTTTCATTGCTAGCAACAGTATTTGTTGATTAAGTTTATATCTAATTTTAAAACATGGTGTGAAGAACTTCTGGATTCTTAAGAATGCGGCAAGGCATATGTTTCTATTTACATCAGTTTTTCTTTAATAGATTTTTTAAATTGTTGATCATTTTTAGGTTACTTGTTGAAAAATATCGCACTGTTTGATGTTGGCTTTTTTAATGAAGGCATAATTTGATCCAGTTTCTTAAGTTTCCTTTGTTAATTTGCCTTTTATTTGGGCAACAAGATTTCTTTTTATCAGGCATTTTGAAGATGAAATTTTTTGTTAACCTACACCTACCCAAACCTTGTAGGAAAGGAGGATATTAGAGTCTTGAAATCGTACCACAAGCATGCTAAACTGTGATTGAAACTGTGCCAAAGCCAGAGAAGGCATTCACTGGATGTTTCATAATTGCTATTTGCCCATTTAATAATTAAATAAAAATATTAGCATTAATTAAGTATTACAGTAAAGCGTTGATTATCTTAACGCTGATTTACCGGTTTGTCCAATTATCTGGATCTCACCAGGACCATATGTTTTTTCTACCTTCAAGAAAAGAACTTTTTTTTCCCCACAAAGCAGGGATGAGATTCTTCCGCGGATTTCCGCTTTTTTTTTCAGATTTTTCCATTTTTCCCGCTAATTTCCGCTGAAATTTTTTTGTACAAGTTTAAATATTTTATGAAGAATTTAATTTTCCCCAGAGGGAAATTATTGAAGTCCCTTTTCCTCCCTCTGAAGTTTCTCTAAAAATCATTTCCTTGGGATAAAACTGGTTGACCTTTATGCAGGGATGAGATTTTTTTTGTCTCTCGAATTTCAGCCTTTTTATCAAAAACTCCGATTCTCTAAAAGTTTCGTTTTTTTAAATAAATATCCCGTTTTTTTTAAATTCAGTCATTGAAGTAAAATAATTATATTTATTTACGATTTTCAAAGATAAACAGAAAATTCAATCTACGCCCTAGCTGCTAACCCTTCCGCATTTTTACTTATTTTAGCTATTTTCTCCGATTTCACGCACAGAAAATAAGATTTTCCGTATTTTTTATCCGTCGGCTGGATAGCTCGTATTTTCGTAATTCAGATCTCGATTTTTATTCACGCGATTTTAATATCAATCATCGATTTTCGTATTTACCTGATTTAAAAGTTGCACATTGCGATTCTTATTTACGCTATTTAAATATCGTATATTATGATTCTTATTTACGACATTTAAAAATCCAATATCGTGTTTTGTATTTATGCATTTTTAAAATCTCGATTTTATTATCAAATCTCGATTTTCGTATTTACCTGATTTAAAAGTTGAACGTTGCGATTCTTATTCAGGCGATTTAAATATTGTACATTGCTATTCTTACTTATGAGATTTAAAAAATCAATATCGCGATTTGTATTTACGAGCTTTTAAAGCCCTATGTAGCAATTCGTATTCACGCGAGCTTAAAATCCAATATCGTGATTAGTTTTTGTGGTTGTAATATCGCGAGATTTAAAAATTATGCATCGTGATCAAAAAATTAAAAAATCTTGATTTGTATTTACGCATTTTTTAAATTCGATGTAGAGTTTCATATTTACGTGATTTAAAAGTCCTATATTGGGATTTATATTCACATGGTTTACAAGTTTAAAAATCGCACTTTTTTTGTCANGATTATCTTAACGCTGATTTACCGGTTTGTCCAATTATCTGGATCTCACCAGGACCATATGTTTTTTCTACCTTCTCGAAAAGAACTTTTTTTTTTTCCACAAAGAAGCTTCATTTTCAGAATTTCTGAAGGGATTCGAAAAATGGCTTCCTTTTTTCTCTTGGTAATCTTGAAAAGAACCTCGTGTATGTTTCACCTGTTTCAACATAGGTAGAAGGTAGTTTCTAATATAGGAACAGGTTTCTAAATTAGTAAAAAATTTAAACGCAGTATTTGTAACATGCTATAATAGACAATACTATGATTGCCTATCCTGACCCTTGTAAAAGGGAGCAGCTACTTTATAAAATTCGCATATCCATTTTTTAAAGTTGTCCGATTATCAGGATAGGCTCTAGTCCTGATTCATCTGGATAATTATCTCTACTGAATTATTATTATTATTTTTGTATTTTAAATTTTTTACTTCTCTTTAGACACTCTGTGTATGTCAAAGTTGTTAATCATATTTACACCCATTTTGCTTGGTAATTGTAAATTGCTTTTTTGTATCTAATTGTTGTATTCTCCATTTTTATAGAGTATCTTTTACATTGCGAGACATATTGACATGGATAGAATTTATTAAATCAAGTTGCCATGCTCTTACATATGAAGCTGCCTATCTCATGGGTGGTATTCTGGTGTTTTTAGACAGTTTGGGATCTGGTAAGTTACGTTATAGGAATTAAGTATTAATAATATCTTGAAATTTTATTTTATTTCAAAAAACTAATATAATGTGTGATGTAATTTTTTTTTATTTAATTCACCGTATAGTATAAAATTTATTTATTTTTGTTATTATTAATTATTTTTATTCAGTATAAAACCTAATTTGTTATTGTAAACTATAACATTCTACCCTAATGCATTTGCATTGATTGCTAAATTGTGCTTTGTTTACTCTGGCTTTTCTTGAGTTTTCTTTTGTGGAATCCATGGTTACCTCATGGAATTGTTGTTGAAAACTGTAACATTCCGTGAATTAACAGCATCAAAATACACTAATGCACTGACATTGATTGCTAAATTGTGCTTTATTTGCGCTGTCTTTTCTTGGGTTTTCTTTTGTGGTTACCTCATGGGATTGTTGTTGAAAACTGTAACATTCTGTGAATTAACAGCATCAAAATACACTAATGCACTGACATTGATTGCTAAATTGTGCTTTATTTACACTGTCTTTTCTTGGGTTTTCTTTTGTGGTTACTTCATTGTTGAAAACTGTAACATTCCGTGAATTAACAGCATCAAAATACACTAATGCACTGACATTGATTGCTAAATTGTGCTTTATTTACGCTGTCTTTTCTTGGGTTTTCTTTTGTGGTTACTTCATGGGATTGTTGTTGAAAACTGTAACATTCCGTGAATTAACAGCATCAAAATACACTAATGCACTGACATTGATTGCTAAATTGTGCTTTATTTACGCTGTCTTTTCTTGGGTTTTCTTTTGTGGTTATCTCATGGGATTGTTGTTGAAAACTGTAACATTCCGTGAATTAACAGCATCAAAATACACTAATGCACTGACATTGATTGCTAAATTGTGCTTTATTTACGTTGTCTTTTCTTAAGTTTTCTTTTGTGTTACCTCATGGGATTGTTGTTGAAAACTGTAACATTCCGTGAATTAACAGCATCAAAATACACTAATGCACTGACATTGATTGCTAAATTGTGCTTTATTTACGCTGTCTTTTCTTGAGTTTTCTTTTGTGGTTACCTAATGGGATTGTTGTTGAAAACTGTAACATTCCGTGAATTAACAAAACAAAATACACTAATGCACTGACATTGATTGCTAAATTGGGCTTTATTTACACTGGCTTTTCTTGGGTTTTCTTTTGTGGTTACCTCATAGGATTGTGCTGGAATCACGAGTTGTGTCATGAGTTGACTGTAGAGTTAAAATTGCGAGTAAACTTTCTGCTTCATCAGTTGGAGAAATTAGCTCCTGTGCTATCTGGTCTAAATATTATATCTGTACTAAATATCATATTGAAGTTATCCTTGCTAAAATTCCATTCATACTGAAATTAAATCTTGATCTTCTTGAACCTATCAATGTTATCTTTTTGAATCTTATATAAAGTGTGCAGATGGGAAATATGTTAGAAAAATGCTCAGGTGAAAAAATACTTTCTGTTTTTTAAGAGTTAATAAAATTAAGAATTATGAATCTCATATCATATATGGTTTTCTAAATCCAGTGTATATGTTACGGCTAAAGCTAGCTCAAAGCATAAACTTTAGCTTAACTTGTTAAAGTGCGGAGTATCACTCCTAGTCAGTAAAAGCTCTAAGATTCTCCAACTCTAACTCTATTAACTAGTTGGGATTCTTTAAGAACCTTTGATTCTTCTGACTCTTAGAATTGGTAATCCCCAAATTAAACTAATTATGCCTATCTTTTCTCTTCATTCTTGCTTTACCTGTAGCATGCATGTGATGTATAACTTAAATTATTTTTAGGTCCCTCAGCAATGAGTGGAGAAAATACCTGCCTCCTAGTAAAACAAGAGTGTCTTAAATTTATGGAAAATCAAATTGGTCGGCTAGAACGTGTCAACTATTGGGAATTAATTATGCCTGATTATTATGATGAGGAATTTAGAAAAATTCAAATTGAAATTTCTTCTAGTGAAACTCAATCTTTATTCGGAATCGGGCCTTTCCAGATTGAAATGGGTGAGAACACTTTTTTGATTAATGTATCAGTACCATTTAGATATATTATTTTTTTCTTTTACAAATTGATAAATTTGAATACTAATGCTTTGTTCTATGTTATAAGTATGCCATTTTATGTAAGGTTTTACATTGTTTGCATTTCAAATTTAGGTCCGTATCAAGATCCAGAATCAACTTTCACATATAACCTTGATACTGCAACTCCTAAAATAAATGCAATGCGAATTTTGCGTGCAATGCAGCTGACAAAGCCAATTTTGTTGGAAGGAAATCCTGGTGTTGGAAAATCCAGTTTAGTTAGTGCTCTTGCGAAGGCTGCTGGTTACCAACTTGTCAGAATAAATTTATCTGAACAAACGGTAAGATATAAGTTCAGGATTGCCAACTTCTTCACCTTGAGCAGAGTTTCTATGCAAAGTTTTGAAATTCTGTTCAATATGCTGAATACATCATTTGCTCTGTTAATTTTGGCTGAATTTCTTCAAGAAAAATAAAAAACATTTATAAAGGAAAATACAAAAACAAAATTTGAAAAAAAATCATAGTTTTTATAAAAAAGGAAGGAAAAAAATTTCAGATCCGAAACAATTATTTTTAATTGAATAAAATTTTTTTTTCTTTAAGAAAACATCCCTGATCTGTAGCTACTCTCCAAATCTTAGTGAAGCGCCAAAAATGGGGATTGATGCACGAAACGTGTGAGCTTTGCCGAAGAACATATTAAAAATTTTATTTTTTTTTAATTTTATGACTTTTTTTTTTCTAACTATAACTTTTCAATTCTTATATTTGTTATTAGTTTTTCAAATGTGCATATGTTGGAAGGTTTTTCTATTATTAAATAAATTTACTGAAAACATTTAATTTTTAATAAAACTTTGAGTATTATGTTTGCTGTTTGATTTTTTCGCTTAAGTTTAAGAAGAGCTCCACAAAATGGTTCTCTTAATTTCTGTAAATACTCTTCTTACTGTTGTTCAAATATTGGATCCTGTAAGTTATGTGATGTTTGGTTTATATTTCAGTCGAGATGATAGAAGTGTCCTGGGATAATATGCAAATAATTTTGTTTAGTGAAATTAATCCACTCTGATCCGAGGAATTTGGAGGGGCAAAAATGGCATAGTTACTTTTAATGTTTGCGATGACTCAAAAGCATTTTTTATTTTTTTAATTTCTTGCAATCTTAATTTTTACTAATTTACTGTTCATTTAGCTGTAATTTTGAAATATAAATGTAATAAAGAATACAAATCTGTTATTGTATATTTTCTTTCATACCTTGCTTCATTACCAAAATTTAAATCATTAAAATTAAAAAAATAAATAAATAAAATTAAGAAAAAAATTGATACTATGGGTGACTTGAGAATTTCAAATTTTAATTTTAAATTTTTGTGATGTGTTTTATGGCTTGAATAAGATTTAATAGATTTGACACCTTGTGTTTATTAATTGTGAATACACAAAAAATAAATTAATTAAAAAAAGTTTCATAGAAATATAAAATGCTTTAGAATCTATAAGGTTAAGTTAAAAGTTAAATATGTTGTAAAAAAAAGTTAGCCATTTTTATCATTAAGTTAATCATTGAAAATCTTAGTTCTTAATGATCAAAACTTATTTATTAATTTTTTATTACTATTTCTTTGAGAATTAACAGTTTAAATAAATTTCTTTAAGATTTCATACAGTTTCTTTAACATCTATACAGATAATTATAAATAGATATTTTTATTTTTCTAGGATATCTCTGATTTATTTGGGGCTGATTTACCTGTAGAGGGAGGAGCAGTTGGAGAGTTTGCTTGGCATGATGGTCCCTTGTTACAAGCTTTGCGGAAAGGGCATTGGATTCTTTTGGATGAAGTATATTTTTTAACAGTAGATTTCTTACATACCTGCTAACTCTTATGCATTTCCTTGGTTTTATTTTTAATGTAGTAGCGAAAATCCTAAATACATATTTATTCTTTTTTAACAAATTTAGTTTAACATGATTTTAACTACCATTATTTAAATAGTTTAAACATACTTATTACAGGTTTGGTAATTACTTGATTGTATTGTAAATATTCGCCAATGCCTGCTTTTAATGTTACTTCAATTGGCATTTCACTATATCACTAAGTAAACTCTTCAATAAAAAACATATAAGTCGGAAGGTGTGTATGTTGTATTGTTTAAACATGTTTATTACATAGGATTAGCTATATATGTACAGCAACATTATTTGTGAAACAATAACACACAGGTTGTTAAAAATCATAAAATACTTCTATTTTGTAAATTTTTATTTAATGGATAATTTATCATAGTATTGAAATATCTCTATGTTTTAATAAGTGTGAATTACATGGTAAAATTTTATGAATTTGAGTTACGTTAAAAATATCATAAGTAATACTTGTTACAATTATGAAACATTCAATCTTTTTCAAAAGTTATTGAAACTTTTAATCTGTTTTAAAGTTACTTTAAACACACAGACATAGGAGTGAAGACTTTCTAAAAATTTGAGAAGTAGCATAAGAAATACTACTGGTAACTGGACTAAATACTGGCAACTGTTCTGTTGCTGTTAGACAACAGTTCTCAAATTCTGTTTATGCTTATTATTTATACTTTGTGGAAAGCTAGCGACACATATAAAATTTGACTAGCTAATTTTTATTTAAAATTTTTAAAAAATGAATTAAAATAAAGAAATACAAGAATATCTGTATAGATACAGGTTTAAAATTTAAATTTTATGTTTTAGCATATACTCTGAAAATGTCCCATTTTTTTACAATCTAGTTATCAGATTTTGATGCATATTAAAATGTAATTTCTGTAAATGGTTTTAGTTTTAAAGCTATTGGTCGTTATCGAAACTTGGATTATTTAGCTTTCTTCTTACCATCAGGCTGACTGTGGCAGGTTTTTGTGAGCTCTCTTTTCACGTCATGCAAATGCAGGTTAATTCCATCAAAAAGTCTCCATATATTTGATCCAGTAGTTCCCTTGTCTCCTTGATTAAGTTTAAGCAAGGCTATGGAGTAGGACATTTGTATTCATGAACTCAAAATTGAGTTGGCTGTTCAACGATGGTTATAAAATTTAAAATAATCTGATTAACACAGGTGTGGATGTTGCTCCTGCTGCATAATGCCACATTGCCTCCTAAAACTGTTGCGAATGACACAAATGAAAACAACATGGAGGTGAATAATATTCACTCTGGCATCAAGTGCAGGTGTTGCCTCATGATGTCATCTGTTACATTAGAGAGTACTGCAATTTTAAATTTTTGCAATATATCACTCAGTAATTTTTTGTTGCTCTCACACCATTATTGTTAAGATGTTAATAATTTAGAAAAGAACAAAAACACTAGCAGTTCTCCTTCGCAGAAGAGGTGTCACAGCTAATGCTTCGGGACAAAGTGAGTTACAATAGGTAAGAGCGGCAATTTTGAAGTACTGCAATGTGCCATTCAGTAATTTGTTGTTGTTTTTATACCATTAATTACAATATTCTAATCAAGTAGAAACGAACAAAAGACTAACAGTCCTTCTTGGTTGAAGGAGTTTAAGCTTTTATGATCCAGGCCATACAAAACTTAAAGAAAATAAAACTTGCTTCTATTAGTCTTAAGTTGGAATATAATTCTCATTAGCAACTATGAAGATGTTTATTTATTGCAGTAAACTCAGATTTTGTAATTATTACTTTTTAAATTTGTATTTTTTTGCACTTCAGAATTTCCATCTTATGAGATTTTTACTTGTGATGTCAAGGTTAAAGATAACTTTCTCTGTAGCTAAGAATATGCTCAAGAATCTTATAATATAAAATAATTTTTTAAGTATTTCTTTTTATCTAAGCAGTGTTGAAATTTCCCATGTTTGTTTGAATTATTTTGCATCAATTATAAGAATGATTTAACATTACAAGGTTTCATTTTCTTTGTCAGATTAAAAAATAAAATTCTTGGTAGTATGATTTGCAAAATATTGTTCTTTATAATATATTTTAAAAATTAAACTTTATGCTTATTTAAATTTTAGATGTATGTGTGCATATCTTAAATATTTTTTTTTAAAATCAATTTCAGATGAATCTTGCTTCTCAGTCTGTTCTTGAAGGTCTCAATGCTTGTCTAGATCACAGACGTGAAATATATATATCTGAACTTGGAATGACTTTCAGTCTAGAAAATACAAATACTAGAATATTTGGTTGCCAAAATCCATACAGACAAGGTGGATCTCGTAAGGGTCTTCCTCGCTCTTTTTTAAATCGATTTACTCAAGTAAGTAATAAATTATGTATATATTACATATATGTGTTATTTTTTGAAGTTTTATATGAATGTGTGATCGGAAATACTTCATTTTTAAATATTAACTAAAATTATTACAATTCCAGGAAAATGAAAGTGAAAATATAATTAAATAAGATATATTAAAATTGTAAATTTAAAGCGGTTGGGCTAGCTAAAGGAAGTAAATCAAATGTGGGTTTCATTCTAATATTAATATGCAAAGACTAGTTTGTTTCAGTTCTTGACCAAGGTACTCTGATTTAAGATTGTAAGGATATTTAGACATCAAAGCTAATTATGAAAAGCTGCTTTTTCTCTATTTAGCTGTTATATAGGCCTGTAATGAAATAAATTACATTACACGGTGAAGGTTTCTGGAATGATATTGTTACTCTCCAAATTGTTCATAAAAGAAGATTAAAAAAGCTTAGAATTTACATAGAAATGGGACTTATCGGTATTTTTTATTAAATTCAGTAATTTGTAAAGAAAAATTTTTGTTTTAAAAAAATTGTTACGTGGCAAAAAGAAAATTTGTGGGAAATTAAACTGTCTTACAATATGCCGATAAATTTGTCTCATTATGCTATTTCTGTATTTTCTGTTGTAAAGAATGATAACCTAGTAAGGGTTACAAACCTAGTTTAGTTTCTATTGACAATAAAAATGTGCATAAATAGCGTAAAGCAGAATTTTTTACCTATTGCAACATCTGATATTGCTTCAGCACTAGCATGTGGATTTTCATAGGAGTAGCAAGTGCATTAACATATGCCTTGAATTTGAAACTGATTGAGACATTTTATGTTTTGTTGAAAGTTACAGTGATGAATTATTAAAAATTAGTTTGAACCTAACTTAAGAGTTTTAAGACTGTAGTAATTGGGGTTAAGCAAACATTGTAGATAGTTTAATAATGTTTTAGGCAATCCAAAACTATTGTTTAAGGCTTAGGTTCGTAACCTTTTTTGAATAAATGCCCATTTTTTAAGTCTCAATATTTTCAATGCCCTTCATACAAAATAATAAATTAATAAATGATTTATGTTTTCAATATTTTTGTCATGAAGCAACTTATAAGACTATGCCTTTGAGTTATTGAAAATGTACTTAATGAATTGAAATTTATATTGAATTTTTTTAAAATTCTTCTTCTCATTGGCATGACAGCCCAAGATGGGCCTTGGCCTTCTCAACAAGCCTATGCCAGGACATTCTTCCCTTAGCCAAAGTTCTCCAGTTTATTATCTTTAAAACTTGTAGGTCCTTTTCAAGGCAGTCTAAAAATCTTAGGTTTGGCCATCCTCTTTTTCTTGTACCTGTTGGCCAGGCACTGAAAACTTTTTTGGTTGTCCTGCTATCCTCCATTCTTATAATGTGGCCTGCCCATTTAATCCTTTGGATTTTGATAAATTTAATGACATCAGGTTCTTTATTTGCTTTGTAAAGTTCCGTGTTTGATCTTCTGAATCAGGTACCGTTTTTATTTATTCAACCAAAAATGCTTCACAGTATTTTTCTCTAAAAATTTCCTCTCTTTATAAAATTTATATTAAATAGTATTTTGAATTAATTTTAATTAAAATTTAATTAAATAGTATTTTCCTCTCTTTTTAAAATTCTAATTGTGTTAAAAATAACTCATCAGTAAATCTTTAAATAAGCATAAACATAAATTCAGTCTATCAGTTTGTTATTTAAACAATACTTAGTTAAATTATTTTTTTTATAATCTCTATATTAAAAAATCACAAGGGGCGCGTTTTTTAGACAAAGAATTTTAATAGCAATACTCTTTATAACAAATATTATATATTGAATTATAAATGTAAGTAATTCCTCTATATCAAACCAAAATAATTATGAATTTTAAAGTGCTCTTAAAACTAATTTCATCTTAATTTAGTTAGCACCCCATAAAATCGTTCACCACTTAACAGAGGGCGACACAGCTCAGGCTAGGAGCCTATGGTTTTAGGTGAAAATGTAAAACCACCATAAATACCATTGAGCAAGAAAAGAGTTAGGAGAGAGTAGGTTTCAACATTGAACCCCATAATTCCCAAATATTATATCTGAATGTTGCAAATTGAGAACTCTCAATTCTAATGTGTGATAATATTGGAAGAATTGAAAGTTGTTGCTTGTCATTTTGTTTTGTGATGTGATGCTTGAAAAAGTTTCTTGTGAGTTCATGCATTTTGAAAGTACTGTTGATAGCTTTTGTCATTTGTGAGCTTGTCATTGTATATTGTGTTCTGTACTGTGCTATTATCTGTGTTCTGTGTGTGATTTGTGCTACTGTTTGCTGTGTATCTTTTGTGTCTATCTGTATTGTGGTGTCTTCACATTTTAAGCTCATTTTTATCAAAATTCAAGAAGCAATCTGTGATAAGTTGCATATCAATAAAAATTAATCACTTAAAATTTTTGAAGTAATTTTAATGTAAAATATGGTTATTGGTATTTATTGGTAAGTAAAAACGGCAAGAACAATCTTGCAGAAAACTGTAGTGCGCCTAATATGTTGCCTTGATTCTTTAAAATTTTTTAAAATTACATGCATAAAATGAACATAAATTTTAATGATTTGTTGAACCTCAAAATATACTGAATAATATGAGAGCTCGACTCCCGGTGGCTGAGCGGTAGCGCTTCGCGCTGTCATGCCACAGGTCCCTGGTTCGATCCTCGGGCCGGGCAAGGTTCACTCAGCCTTTCATCCCTTCAGTGGGTCGATAAATGAGTACCAAGCATGCTTGGGAACTAAACACTGGGGATTCCGCGTTTTGCTGACCACCTGACCGGAACATCTGCTTCTGCACCCCAGAGCCCAAGGTCAAGAAAACTGAGATGGGCACAGTAGGCCTTGACCCTCTAAGGCTGTCGCGCCGCTGAGTTAGTTAATATGAGAGTTCAGATATCCTCTAATCATGTGCTGAACTTAACTATTCTTTAATACATGTTAAGCCACGCCATGCAACTGTCTGTTTAATTTTAAGAATGGTAAGTTTTTCGTTCCTTGTTAATTTTCGGTAACATTGAAAACAGTGGAGATAAAGAAAAAATTATAATAAGTGATTTTTTTAAAAATTTTATTCAATTGCATTTTGTGGTCAAATTGGTGATAGTGTAAACTGAGTGGGAGTTATCATGAATAAATCAAATTATAAAATAACTTTATATGGTCGATATCTCCAAGACATAAAGCAGAAATAAGTATGTCTGTTTTTTTTTACAACAATGATATAATTTTCTCCAAAAGCAATGTATAAAACTAATTAAAATTGTTCATTTATTTCAAGTGTACCTCATTCAAAATAGTACACAATTTTTAATTTAAATTTAGAGCACTTTAAAACTCAGAAATTCATAATGATGTTGGTTCTAGATTACCTTGGTAATTTGTTGTCTACTCTAATTGTTCATTTATGTTTCTTGTTGAATAAATTATTTTTTACTTGTAATGTTTATTTATTGCAAAAAAAATTATAAATAACATGTTTTATAGGTGTATGTGGAGCCAATGAACCCTATAGATATGAGAAATATAACAGCAGCTGCATATCAGAATATACCAGATGATCTTATAAATCTCATGAATAGATTTAATCTAGAGGTACTTATTTGATTATTTATAATTATTGGAATTTTGTTCTTATTTTCAATCTACTATATTAATATCAGATATTTTTAAATAAAATTATTTTATGCAAACAGTCTATATTCTTAAGTATTTTTAGAAAAAGGGGTTTATCAAATACCCTTCCACATTTGCTGGTAACAGTGTTGATATTGTTTTTAATAAAAGCAGAGATTTATCTACAACTGAAGTACATAAAAAAGCAATGTTTATTAAATATAAAAACTTGAACAGTAGTTTCAAAAAGATATCACCGTAAACTAAACAGTATGACAGAGATAAATATACTGTAAACGTCATAGACAGAGACAACTGTTACTTGACTTGAAAAGTTGGTTTACATACATTTAAAATAGTTGAGAAACCAGAACAATATCGTCTGTACACCTGATGTTTTAGTTAGAGGCAAGGGAAACATAATTGTTAATTTGGTTGTACTAGTTCTGCTGCCATGGGGAAATGAAGAAGTTGACTAATTGGAAAAGTAGCACGCATCATAGATCAACTTTATCGATACACATTATGAAATGACATCATTTTCTTATCGACATCGATTAAATGGGAATAAACAAATCTTTGAGAGTGAAATACGGCAAAAAAGCTTAAAATTCCGTTATATTTTCAACAAATAAGTCTCTTTTATTATAACGACTGATACCTAAACTCTAATTTGTTATTCAATAAATTCAATGTTTTTTAAGAACATCTGTACTGAAAAATTAATTCCAATATAGTGACATAAATTTAGTTGCATTTTTATTATTATTATGAAACTCGTTTAGTAGGTAAATAAATTTAAAAAATTTTTACACTTTCAAAACAAAATGTTTCCATTGAAAATAAGTTAGCTTACACAAGTTCAAAATATTATTTTAAATTATAATTATCTATAATTATTATGCAATATTATAATATAAAATTCTCAAAATTGCTGTTTCTTTTGATGTTCCTGCACATTTAATGTGAAATATCCTGAATTCTCTTTAAATGAATTAATAGTTGCATGACTTTCTATATACTTATCTTAGATGATGGTGATCTGTACTAAAATACTTTGGGAAATACAGATCTATATTGATAATCAAAAGTGTATATTGTACCTTTATGTAGAAATCATGAAAACCTACTTGCATTTATTTGGTTAAAGAAATGCATTCATAATTTTTTAAAATTGATCTTCAAAGAGAACATTAAATTCATCTATCAAATTTTTCTTATTTGAAAATTTATTCACTCTTTTAATGAAATGCTCGATTTTGAAACATTTTAGTTAAAACATGTTCCACATCTCATCTGCTGCATTTTGTTTCGTTTTGAATTAACAGTATCTAAATATATGTTATCTATCTGAAATGGTTACCTGCATCTTATTTTACAGTTGTGCCCATTTGTTTAAGTATGGAGGGTTTTAAAATGTCTCATTATGAACAATATCTTTTAGTAAGCAATATCCTTCAATGCGTAAGTCTAACTTAACAATCCTTATTGAGTTAGTTTTTTGTTTCTCAGTATTAAAGTTATACAGCATGTTTTGTAAGTAGGGTTCTACGTAATAAAATATTTTGCTGATTTTGATTATGGTTTATTACACCCCAAAAAAAAACATTTGAACTTTTATTGGGCTATTTTTTGAGTTTGTGGGTAAATTACAAACTCTAGCTATTGTAAAAAAGGCATTATTGGAATATTTTTCTTTTATATATATGTACATATGTATATATCATTCAAACCAAGATGGTTACGTTATTATGTTAGCAAACAAGTTTTAACGTTGTTTTTGAATTTAATCACAATAACCATTAAAACATGGTGTGTTTAAATGCTGTAAATAAAATAGCTGATAAATATATATATTGTTAAATTTCAGATGAATCAGGAGGTTAATATTAACAAAAAGTTTGGCCAAAGAGGATCTCCTTGGGAATTCAATCTTCGTGATTTACTTCGTTGGTGTGAAGTTATGGATCAGCATCAAGTTAGTTTTTATAACTACTTTTTAAAATTTTTTTTTTGAATCTTAATGTGTTGTTTATTTTTATTATTTGATGTATGTGACAACTATTTTGGGTATTCACAAAAACTACATAATACAGTGTAAAGGGTTAGCATTAACGCAATGCTGTTGTTATGAAAATTTCTGGGAGTATTTAGATTCTGATTGAAAGTAATAAAATTGTACAAAGAGTTACAGTTGTATAATTAATCTTTTGCTCGGTTGCAGATAATAAAAATAATGTCCACTTATTTAAACAGTTAACTTTTATTTAGATGCTATTATTAAAAAAAAAAAAAAATTCTTACTAATACAGTAATTGGTACATGTGATTGTTATTGTTAAAATTTTAAAAACTATAATATTTTTTATTTTTTAATATTGATTTCCAGAATTTGCTTTTCTTTGTTAGTTTATTTGCACAAGTAATTACATTTCATTGCTAACACTACCCACTGCAGAACTTTCATATTGAAAAATGGCCACATTCTGATAATTTGAGAAAAACTGTGAACTAGATTAGTAACTTACTGTTGCAGACCATGCCTGAATTTTTTTTATTATAAGGGACCAAGTCAAAAGGCTTGGTGGGCCACTTTTAACCCAAGGGACATAGGTTGTGCATCTCGATGTATTTTTTAACTTGATGTAGTTCTAAATTCCAGGACTTGATTCGAGACTATAAATTTTTTAAAATTGGAAATTTGTGATATCAAGAATAAAATATTTTTCTAACAATTCAGTCAAAACAATCCTTCTATTGATATTTTAAACATTTTCTGTTTTATCATTTTCCTTTTCTGAAATATCATACATCTTAACTTCTTTTAATGTTTCCGATTTTTCCCAACTACTATACATTGCAAGATTATTGTTCACAGTAACTACTTTCTTGTATATTTTATTTTTTTATTAAATTAACAAGATTTTTGCCAATCCTATCTTATGAACAAATATTCTTATCTTTTCACACACATCTTAAAAGTCTTCTTTAGAAATGGATAATTTTTTTCCTAACGAATTTAATCTTTTTCTTATTAAGGTTTCACGAAAACACCCAAGAAAATATTTTGAAAATTAATTCAAGAAATCATTTTAAATCCTTCCTAAATTAATAAAAAAGTTTTTGGTGATAAAAATGTATTTCTTAAAATTATGGATCGCAGAGAATTATATTTAGAGAAAAAAGATTTTCTTTTTAGCAGTATATAGAAGTATTAAGATGTATCAAAGTTTGTTATAAGGTCTAGGTTGAAATAAAGGAACCTTCCCATGCTATTTGTAATTGATGTGAATACATACATTCTATTTTTTGCTTATTTATACACTTATTTTGTAAAGTTTTATTTCTTTCAAAGTCTCACAATTTCGATTGCATTGTTTTTTATTTGCATTATTATGTTGGGACAATTATTATTTTGGGACACTTTTAGGACACTTATTAGAAACTATTTAAACTTTTTNTATGTAGAAACCATGAAAACCTACGTGCATTCATTTGGTTAAAGAAATGCATTCATAATTTTTTAAAATTGATCTTCAAAGAGAACAAACATTAAATTCATCGATCAAATTTGTCTTATTTGAAAATTTTTTCACTCTTTTAATAAAATGCTCGATTTTGAAACATTTTACTTAAAACATGTTCCACATCTCATCTGCTGCATTTTGTTTTGTTTTGAATTAACAGTATCTAAATATATGTTATCTACCTGAAATGGTTACCTGCATATTATTTTACAGTTGTGCCCATTTGCTTAAGTATGGAGAGTTTTAAAATGTCTCATTATGAACAATATCTTTCAGTAGGCAATATCCTTCAGTATGTAAGTCTAACTTAACAATCCTTATTGAGTTAGTTTTTTATTTCTCAGTATTAAAGTTATGCAGCATGTTTTGTAAGTAGGGTTCTATATAATAAAATATTTTGCTGATTTTGATTATGGTTTATTACCCCCCCCCCAAAAAAAAACAAAAAAACATTTGAACTTTTATTGGGCTATTTTTTGAGTTTTAAGGTAAATTACAAACCCTAGCTATTGTAAAAAAGGCATTATTGGAATATTTTTCTTTTATATATATGTATATATATCATTCAAACCGAGATGGTTACATTATTATGCTAGCAAACAAGTTTTAACATTGTTTTTGAATTTAATCACAATAATCGTTAAAATATTCTGTGTTTAAATGCTGTTAATAAAATAGCTGATAAATTAATATATTGTTAAATTTCAGATGAATCAGGAAGTTAGTGTTAACAAAAAGTTTGGCCAAAGAGGATCACCTTGGGAATTCAATCTTCGTGATTTACTTCGTTGGTGTGAAGTTATGGATCAGCATCAAGTTAGTTTTTATAATTACTTTTTTTTAAAAATTTTCTTTGAATCCTAATGTGTTGTTTATTTTTATTATTTGATGTATATGACAATTATTTTGGGTATTCACAAAAACTACATAATACAGTGTAGAGGGCTAACATTAACATAATGTTGTTATGAAAATTTCTGAGAGTATTTAGATTCTGTTTGAAAAGTAATATGACTGAGTTACAATTGTATAATTAATCTTTTGCTCGGATGCAGATAATTAAAATAATGCACACTTATTTAAACATTCAGCTTTTATTTAGACACTATTATTAAAAAAAAAATTCTTACTAATACAGTAATTGATAAATGTGATTGCTATTGTTAGAATTTTAAAAAGTAGAGTAGTTTTTATATTTTATTGATTTTCAAAATTTGTTTTTCTTTGGTAGTTTATTTACACAAGTGATTACATTTCATTGATAACACTACCCATTGCAGAACTTTCATGTTGAAAAATGGCCACATTCTGATACTCTGAGGAAAACTGTTAACTAGATTAATAACTACTGTTACAGACCATGGCTGAAGAAAAATTTTATAAAGGATCAAGTCAAAAGGCTTGGTGGGCCACTTTTGGCCCAAGGGACATAGGTTGTGCATCCCAATGTATTTTATAACTTGATGTTGTTCTAAATGCCAGGGCTCGAATAGAGACTATAAATTTTTTAAAATTGGAAATTCGGGATATCAAGAATAAAATATTTTTTAACAATTCAGTCAAAATAATCTTTCTATTAATATTTTTAAAAGTTTTTTTGTTTTTTCATTTTCCTTTTCTGAAATATAAAATATATATATATATAAACTTTTTTTTTGTTTTTTTTTTTTGCTTTGTGTTTTACTATGTGTTCTTTTTGTGTTAATATGCGTTTGTTATGTGTTTTCTTTGTTTGTTATTGTAATTTTGTTCCTTTTTACTCCTTGTTTAAGTCCACTTAAAGTTGAACATTGTATATGGATTAATATTTCCAATAAAGCCATATGTAACAATAACTTTTCTGAAATATCATCATACATCTTACCTTTTAATTTTTCTGATCTTTCCTAATTACTATACATTGCAAGATTATTGTCCACAGTAACTACTTTCTTGTATATTTTGTTTTATTATTTTTTTATTAAATTAACAAAGATTCTTGCTTATCCTATCTTATGAACAAATATTCTTATCTTTACACACACATCTTAAAAGTCTTCGTCAGAAATGAATAATTTTTTTCTAACGTTGTAATCTTTTTCTTATTTGGGTTTCATGTTCCTTCCTGGGTTTCATGTTCCTTCCTAAATTAATAAAAAAGTTTTTGGTGATAAAAAAATATTTCTTAAAATTATGGGTCACAAAGAATTATATTTAGAGAAAAAAAGATTTTCTTTTTAGCAGTATCAAAGCATTAAGATGTATCAAAGTTTGTTATAAGGTCATGGTTGAAATAAAAGTTTTACCTTCCCTTGCTATTTGTAATTGATGTGAATTAATATATTATATTTTTTACTTATTTATACACTTATTTTGTAAAATTTTATTTCTCTCAAAGTCTCACAATTTCTATTGCATTGTATTTATTTGCATTAGTATGTTGGGTTATTTTATTAGTCACAAACATTTTAGAACACTTTTTTAGAAGCTTTTTCAACTTTTTATATTCATCTTGAATTGATCTTAATTTGTAATCCAACCGGCTATTGGATTTTGCCAGTTTCTCCTAGCCTACTAGATTAAAAAAAAAAATTTCTCAAATTTTTTGTATATTAAAAAATAAAAAAACTCTTTTTTAAAATTTAAAAAAATTTTTTTTTCAAGAGGAATTTTTTGTTTTTTTACTTGTTGAGTATTTAATTAAGCTCATTGTTTGCTTGAGTATTTAATTAAATATTTCTGATAAATAATATAATATCAGCTTGAAAAATTTTTTTCAGTATCCTAAGGATTTAATTTTTTACTGCTTTCTATTTTTAAATTTGTTAAATATGTTCTAACTATTTGACATGGTTTCAATATCTGTTACTGAAATTTATGAATTCAAAAATAAATGAAAAGTACTATAAGCAATCTATATTCAAATTCATTAAATGTCAATCATACATTGAAAATATTTGTCATTTTAAGTTTATAATGATTGGGGGAATGTAATTTTTGTATATATTGATTATAAAAATCAAAGAAATTCATGTGTTTAAAATATTTTTGATATTAAAGAATAGTTAGCATGACATTTATATTATTTCGTAAAGTCTACTGGATTTTTTTCCTTTTCATGCTCTCGGTTATGCTCTTAAAAATTAAATAATATCCCATTACGTTATTTGTATGATATATATATATATATATACACAGTAGAGCGCCGATTATCCGAACTGCTCGGGACTGAACGTCGTTCGAATAATGAAAAGTTAGGATAATTGGAAGATTGTTTATAATCTAGTTTAAATGATCATTATTTATGCACTAACTTGCCATCCCACTTTTTCCAGGTTTAGGACTGGCAGTACTATCTAAAACATCTCTGTTTTAAAAAAAAATTCAAATTTTGAACATTTTTATTTATTTTTTTTAAAACTTTTTGAATTTTTTTAATCATATTTCAGTTTTTTAAATTTTTTTTTGTCAATTACTGATTTAACCACATTTTTCTTTATTTTCCATTACAAAAGAAATCCAGGAAAGACTTATGTTTCAAAGAAGATCTCTTTTTTGAGCAGCCATATCCCTTATTCTTTTAAATAAATCAACTGAACTGGATCAACATCATTTCGGCGTTCTAGTCAATTCATTGCAATACCTAATGAATTGCATGCTTCCATATGAGAAGGTCCACTATTTTGAACTTGATCACCTACGTCTTTCTCTTCGTCTGTAGAGTTCCGATTTTCATTCAAAATTTTAGCAACTATTTCATCATCATTTGAAATTCCGGGACATTTTCACTGTCTCGACACCAGTCTTCTATTTCTTCTGCTGCATAACCTGGCGTCTTTTCATCTAAATGATCTACTTTTTCAGAAATTTAGAAAAATTGTTGATAAGTTAAAAAGTATTCTAAACTTTAGAAAGATAATAATAATAATAAATTCGGACACAGTTCGGATAATTGGACATTCGGATAGTAGGGGTTCAGATAATCGGCGCTCTACTGTATATATATATATGTATTTATTTATTCAGCTTTTATAATATTCAAATTTTTTTTTTTTAAATAGGTGGAAGAATACAATGTTGGAGAATATGTGAAATTAATTTACGCTGATCGAATGCGTTCTGAAGATGACAAAAATAAGGTGATTCTATTTTTCAAATAAAAAAATTAAAAGAAACATTTTAGTTTTTTTTCTTCCATTTTAACTAGTATTATATATATATTTTTTAGAAAATAAAATATATTTGTATTTCAGGTTTATGGTTTATTTATGACTGTTGCATCCAAATTTCCTGATACTTCTGGGCAATCTATAGTGGATAGCTTCTTTGAATTGAATGTTTTTGAAAATATTATCCAACTTGGTCATTCCACTATAAAACGTAAAAGTAGAAGCTGGTCTGATACAAACATGATATGTGTTGCTAATAAGCAGCTTCCCATTTTGGAATCTCTCATGAAGTGTATTGAAATGAATTGGATGCCTATTCTAGTAAGCTATATACTTTTTTTTAAAAAAATATTTGCTATTTTTACGGCAAATTGTATCAGATTCATTTCCTTTTTTAAATAGTTTTGAAAAACTTTAACTTCTGAGTCATATTTTTAAAAAAAAATTTGCTGATCTTTTTTTATTTAATTTGGAAAACATTTAGCCTACTGTTATTTGCGTAATTATTTATTTTATTATGCAATAAAATGTGTGTTAAACTTATCCAGAACCTTCCTATTAGATATTTTGAACAGTTTTTTTCTTCTTATTTCCATAGTATGTACAATGGAGAATTTTGTAAAACTTAGATAGCACATAAACAAACAATTAAAGCATTTTTCATTGATACATTCATGAATGGAACATTTCTTATCTTTAAATCTCATTTTTGAAAGACATTTCATCATAATTGCAATTTCTTTGAGCTTTGTTAAAAAAATTTATGTGATGTAAATTGTTTCACAAGTGCATAGTATGTGAAATAGAAAATATTTTTTTAAATGTTTAAAACTTAGGTGAATTATAAACAGGCAAAATATTTTCCTTGAATGGATCATTCCCTAATTTTAATCAGATATTTTAAAGACATTTATCCATAATTGTAAATTTCTTTGAGTTTTAAGAAATTTATGTGATGTGAATTATTTTTGTTGCACTGAGACATTTTTTATGTGCTTATTTCAATTAATTAATTTATAAAATATTTAAAAGCATTTTTGTTTTATATGCCATTCCATTTTATTAAAAATATTATTTTTTTAAGAAGATTTTTTAAGCAATCGTATAATGCCAAGAATATCCATACTGTAAAATTATGAAATAAATTGGCATGATATGGAGAAATTTTTTTTTCCATGGTAAATATCTTAAGAAGCAAGTTCTGTATTATCTACCACATGCTTTTATACTTTCCCAGGTTTTGATCTTATACAGAATATGTCCTATATATAATATCAGGGTTGCCACAGACTACTAAAATGCGACTATTTGCTACTATTTTCGACCTTAGGCGACTAAGTCGACTTTTTTTGCCTGAAAAGGCTAAAAAAGCAACTATTTTCAGGAATAGGGACTATTGGGAGACTTTTTTACTCTTAGTGAAGTTTTTTCGCAAAAATGAACGTTACTTTTCAGTTCCCTCAGTAACACGTACTTATTGCCATGTGCATAGTGCAGTTAAAACAAATAATTTTTTAAAAAATTAAATAAAGAGTTTAGTAATGTCTTGACGCTTTTTAATAATTTAACATTAGTAATTAAAGTATTTTTTAAAAAGTTTTTATTAAAATTCTTTCAATACTTGTTTGTTTTATAATTTTTTAGATAGTCAGTATCATTTTTAAACAAATAAATTTTTAGTTGATTTTATTTTCAAAAAAGAAAATAATAAAGAAAAAATATTTTTACATTTATTAAGTACAGAATTTGACCATTAGTCAATACTACTTTTTATTATTTTAAATAATTAAATAAAAGAGGGTCTAATGATGTTTCAAAAGCATGAAGTTTTTTTCAACAAATAATTTAAAAAAAATTTTTTTTTTCTAAAGTGAACATTTCTTTGGTTTGTTTTCTACTTTCGTTTTTTTCTTTTAATTTTTAATTTATTTATCTAAAATATTTTGTTACAGTATTATTATTTTTAAACCAGTTAATCTTAAATAATTTTTAATTTAAGAATAATGAAAAAAAACTTGGGTTTGCTTTTACTTTGACTTCTTTTATTATTTTAATTGAAAATATTAAGCAATGATATTGATGTCATAGTAGAATATGTTTAGAACTAGTATTTTCTTTTGTAATAGATTTTATTTATTTCTTTTTATTTATTTTTGATTGATTTAAAGATTTGCCATAGGTAATTTTTGAACATATGCTAAATTGCAATACATCGCTATATCGCGATGTATCACGATTTAAAATTTCTGACATCACCCAGTCCTAATCATAGTATACGACAAATAAGCTATAATTTTAGTTATTTGGCTACTATTTTTGATACATTTTTTACCCTGTTCAGGCAACTATTTTCGTACTTATAGGCAACTATTTTCCTTCTTGAGGCTACTAAAAGCAACTATTTTTGTTCCTTTTTAGCTGTGGCAACCCTGTAATATATATGTTTTTTTTATTCGCCATACAATCAATAAATTTATGGTGAGAAGCAATCCATTTTTAAAACAAGCACAATGTTATCCCCTCACAATACAGCTCTTAAAAGAGGTTATTTACTTTATATTAGGTTGGTTCATCAGCTAGTGGTAAGTCCACTTTAGTACGATTTCTTGCTGATCTTTCTGGGAATACCTTGCATGTTTTATCAGTAAACTCTGAAATGGATACAATTGAGTTGCTGGGTGGTTTTGAACAGGTAAGTGTTTTTTTTTCATCAAATTTTTTGTTTTTGTGCCATACACCGTAGTTTAAGTGTTATTTTTTATAACGAAACTCATATTTGTCTGGCTTAAATGTAGCTGACATGATCAAGGACATTTAGTAGAGGAGCTATAGATCATGTTTAAAATTTGGTTAAACTTGAAAATTATTCCATGCTTAACATTTAACTATTTAGCAAACTATTGAATACCGAGTAAGGTGTCTTTTTTTTTTATATCAAAGATAAAGAGGTGGGTTTTTTATCAATGTATCCAGAGACTTTATTACAGATTCTACAGAATTTCTCCTGTTACTACGATTTATGGAAATTATAACGTATTCTACAGAAAAGTCAGAGTTTGATAATTTCTTTTTCAGCAATTGTTATAATTTTTTTCCTTGTTTTCCCAATATATTTTGAATTCTAATATGATTTATATAAAATTAATGCAAAAAGCTACTTTTGATTATAAAGTATTAATTATTGACGTGCCCCAGTCATGCTTATTCCATTGTAAATTCGCTTCGGTTCATGATCATGCTTTGGAAGTTGCTACAGTCTATTGTTGTTTTTTCGGCAGTTAGTTTTTTTCAGTAGTTGTAACAGTTATATCTAATTTTTCGGCAACTATTTAAAGTATTTATTGTGTTGGAGTTTTTAAATGCAATATTATTATGCCGCACAAAATTTTAAAAATGCACAAAAATCCTTAATTTTAAATTTTATTGCTAATAATTTTATAATTTCCTAAATTTACTGAAGCACATTTAGTTGTAAAACTATCTGAAAGGGCTTGGAAACTACTGAAAATTTTCATGGTTGCTACTGAAAACTCTGACCAGAGATTGAAGTCTCTGTTGTATCTGATATTTTGTACTTAGTACCTAAATGTACCAATTACCTCAAAAGAATAATGTAATGAATCTAAAATAAACAAGTTCACTTATTATAAATTACTTTTTAAAATAAAAATTTTTCTCATGATGTTCCTAAAATAAATTAGTGATAAAAATAGTTTATTTAATATATTAATATCTAAATGGCAACCTTACTTGAAATTCTGCTTCTGGATTAGTGTAAATATCCAGTATCTATTGGTAGTTCCTGTTACCTATATTAGTTTTCCCGTTTGTTAATAAGTACTAATTGAAGGCTGGAAGTTCTATTACTGGTTTCACTTGAATTCAGTATTTGTATATACTCACTCTACTCTAGATTAGCTCCATATCAGTTAGATTTCAAAGCTGCTTTTTTTACTTACACTCATCTAATATCTGAAAGATCAGTTCTAGGGTCTTTGATATCTAAAGCAGTAGCAATTTTTTTGTCTTGTCACAGACAATCACACTATTAAGTTTATTTCATTAAGTTTTTGTGCTCTATTCAAATTATTTATTTCACATTTTCAGTTCACCATGCTTAATATTATGCAAATTTTTACAATATTCATTTTGTATTCTTTTGGCAGCTTTTTATGTTATCAAGAGATAAGATTAAAAGTGTTATGTTTAGTATTTAGTTTATTATCTAATTGTTATTAATTTATGAATTTGTGACAGTTACATCCTATTTGAATCCGCATGTTTTTTATTTTTTCAGTTTATTGAAAGTACAATAATAAAAAACACATTTTTAATGTTTTTTTTAGCAAAATATTTGTAATTTTATATTTGATATAAATTAACTGCCTTTTTGTTTTAAGAATAAAACTATTTTTAAATCAAATTATTTTTATAAGAAAATAAAAATTAAAAAAGAAAAATTAGATTTAAAAAAAATAATAAAATTTGTTTTTCATCTTTTATTTTAATATTGATATGTTTATCAGATTTGTACACACTGAGGCTCAATCTTAAAGGTCTTATATGATTTCGTGCAAATTTTTGATTTTGTAATTTGAAATGCATATTATTAATTAGTTTGAAGTAAAAAGTTTTAAACTTTACTATTTAAATTTTTTCAGTCATTATTCAGTTTTAAAATAAATATATATAAATATTTTTTTAATGGAAAATCTGTAGGTAAATAAGTTTTATAAGTGTGTGTGAAATTTTTTTTTGATTAATGCAAATAGTTCGAGGTTTGCAAAATCTGGGAAAAGTAAAATCAACCTTAAGAGGTCTGACTATTTCATTTAAACTATTGCAGTTTTCCAGAATTAAATGTATTTTTTGTTGATTTCTGTCCCCTTACCATTTTCTTATCTAAAATAAGGAACAACCATGTTTACCACCTTAGCAATTTAAAAGAGACTCTCTTCTGCAGATTGCGAAATTTCATCCCTAGAAGATTACATAAGCTTTAAACGGTCCTTACAAAGCTTTATTTATTTATTTTTTTTATGTCAAAAGTGATTAGATAATTATCATATGTATATATATATATATCCTGCACTTCAAAGTTATGAAGGAAAAAAAACTTTTAGGAATTTTAATAGTTCTTATTGATGTGAAATAATACAGTATTTCCATACAGCACTCAACAAATTTTTAAATTTATTAATATTCAACTTATGACTTTAAACATCTTTCTAAATCACTCTCTCTTTATTTATGCCTGAGATGCTAACTAGAACATTAATAATCACAAACACAGTGAGAGAGCGAAAATGTTGCTAAGTGTACAGGTATGGCATTGTGTGAAAGAAATTTAATAGGTGGTAATTATGAATCTTTCAAGATGGGCTGCCTTTGTCAATGCCTAAAAAAAAAGAAAAAAAGAAAGAATGCTATACTCACTTTAACATTATTATTTTATAACAATTAAACTCCAGTATTTCAGAAATAGAAAATCTTAGAAGCTATTTCTTACTTTGCTGTCTTTGAATAGAGTTTTTATTCTATACTTTTATTACAATTTAAAATGGTTCTACCGTTTAAATAAATGCAGCATGCTAATTTTTCATATAATATTGTTTATAGCATATAATATTGTTAATAGCATATAATATTGTTTATTCAGTTAAAGAGAATAATCCATCCGCTGGCCAGCCGGAAGTTAACTTTAGTCTTTAAATAATCTGTTTGTTTTTATTTTTATACTATTTCCTGCTTAATCATTTGTGATTAACCAGTATATTATTATGCTCAAATGCTCACAAATAGAAAAGGACTTTCGCTGGACTTTTTTCAGAGTATAAATGTTATGAAATTTTTTTATTTAAACAAATTTCAGCTTTACAGTTACTGTCTTTTTAACTGAATTTATTTGAAATTTGCAAGGAAATTTTAATGATCAGAGGAATTTTGTTTCCTTTGATAACGCTTCATTATTTTGTGTAATATTGAATGAACCCTAATTTTGCATTGATAAAAATTGAAGTAGAACCCAAATTATAAAAGTTTATTAATCTGAAATTTCACCTGTTTATTTTTGGAACTATTTTACACATTTACTTTTTAAATTTTTTTTTGACAAAAGAATTTCAGAAAATTAAGAGATTTTTATTATCTTCTCTATTATACACTCAATAAATAAATAATAATAATGATAAAAACAATTTCTTTCTCATATTTAAACTAGAGATTCCAATAACCATGTATTCTCTATAGTTTCTGCATGATTTCACCTGTTACTATGGGCTACAGAATTATAACTCATTCTGCAGAAATGTCTGATTTTGATAATTTAAAGATTGTATTTTCAGCAGTTGTAGTTCAATTCCAGAATATATGATATAATATTATAATTAAATTTGATTTTTCAATTACGAGTTATTACTTTTTGATGAGTTCAATTCGCTCTGATTGCTTTGTAAATTCAATTTATTTATCAGCAATTATATCACATTTTGATTTACTTAATACGACATGTGATTTACGCCTATAAGTTATCACTTTTTGATGCGCTGATTGACTTTTAAGTCTACATAGTTTTTCTATTGTTTTTTAAACCATTTCTTCAAGGTTTTCCGATAATATTTTTCGCACACGAATTTTGAGTTAATTATTACTGTTTGAAGTGTCCAACTTGCGACGATTCCTCCATTAATCCAAACCCTCTTTAAATTTTGTTTTGACGCATGAAATTCGGACCTAGTTTTCGGCTAGTTACAATCTTCATCTAGTTTTTAAAAAAGTAAAATATTTTTCGGAACTGTTTTACCGATTTCGCTCAAAATGTGAATTTTACCTTATAAATTTAAACTCTGATGAAATGATGTTGAAAATTATGTACCTTTCAACTTGAAATTTTTTCAACCACTTTTAAATAAAGTAATAAAAAAATAAATAATTATTAAAAATGATTTTTTGCATGGTTGTTGAATGATTGTTTGCGTATTTTGTATTTTTCCGTTTAAAGTTCTCTAAAATGGTTTAAAATCTGTATACCTTAGAATTCAAAATTTTGGTGAATGTTTTTAATTGGTATAGAAATAGAAATAATAGTAATAGAAAATAATAAATAATTAAAGAATTTTTTGCACTATCTTGAGATAAACAAATTTTATAATTATGTGCAAAAAAAAAAAAAATTCAATTTGCTTAAAAACATCTCATGGTATGACAAAATAGGTAAAAAGTAAAAGTAACATTAAGGAGTCCAAATCCTGACCAAAACCAAAAATATATGGATGTAAGAAATCCAAATCTGGCAAAAAATGTTTACTTCAGGGAAAATAATCAGTAAATTTTTGTTGTTGCTTGATTTCATCATTTAAAATATCATTTACTGTAATTAAATAGCATATTTAAAGCTAGGCCTGCATAAAATTAAGATTGAGGATTAGTACTTGGAAATCCGATTATTTGATCGTGAGTTATTCAGAGTGTTCCCTTTCCTTCATTTCACTGTATATACATGTCTTTTCATCCTTGTGGCATTTTTTACGCACGTTTGATTACAATATTTGCATTTACCATGAGTTGTGTCTTCACGTACTCCATCAAAATGTTTTCTTTTCTATCATAAAATTTTTTATTGTCGATAATTAGCTACACATATTTTTATAATCAGGTCTTATATTTGAGTCGAGTTAAGTCATGGTGAATTCA